GGCCCGGGAAGCCGCGGCTGCGGCCGCCCGCGAGAGGCGCCGGGCCGGGGTCGGGCGGGCTCTGCCTCCGCCGAACGCAGGCCGGCGCTTCCTGCTCCAGACGGACGGGTGGTGGGACGGGGGTGCTCAGCCTTCCTCCCTGAGGCGGGCTGGCGCTGGCCGTGCGGCCCGGGAGCGCTCCGTGCGCTGCCGCCGCCAGCACGTGTGACAGCCGCGGGGAGCCGGCCTGCTGTGACCTTGGGAAGCGGAGCCACGGCCTCCCCACGCGGGATATTGCAAGGAGCAGCGCTGCCTTCTGGGTGCATCCCGGTCTTTGGAGACGGCATGGGCAGAGAGAAACATCTGGGGCTGAAATAACATCTGCTTGCAGGGGATTCTGCAGGACCTGTTACACTAACTAATGCTTCTGTATTTCTAGGTTTGAGGTTTGGATTTGCTTTGGAAGTCAGAGAGCAGTTGCTGCCTCATTCTACCTACATTCAACTTTTAATATAGTAGTATTATTGCAAACAGGAAAAAAAGGTAGGTACTGATATAATATTAATTTAGTTTTGACTAAGACTTAAATCTTGTGAAAGTAGTACCGTGCTGATATGGATCAGACAGCTAAACTTCCTTGTCTCTTAAAAGGTCCATATTGTTATAGGCATATACTTTTTGTCCTTCTGCTGCCAAGTTTTCCGTGGGTGATCTGGCATATGCTCCCTTTGAGGACTGGCACAGGTCGATAAGCACTCAGCGTGATGAAAGCAGTGTACATTTTACTGAACACAGGCTATTGTTGCTCTCTAGTAATTCCTTTCATTCAAAGTCTGTCCCAATGATTTGTTTTTTTCTCCCCTAAATAAGGAGCAAAACTCAGAATACAGCGTGAACACTAATGAGATATATAGGATAGCCAAGCATAATTTGGCCTTGGAGCCTCCATGTTGAAGTAACACCTGGTGTGCCACGCTGTCAGTAACAAAACAGTTCAAATCTGAAGCCACAATTGTGAAATTACTTGTTTTAGGGCCATTTATTGCAAGAGCAATGTTTTATTTTGTTTTAAACTCATTTAGGTTAATGTAACAGATTGGATGGATAAAGTTACTGAGTGACAGCATTTGGCCTACTGGTGTATCTTTCTAATGTTCAAGAATAATAAATCTGTTTAGAGATAGGCTTTCTTAAAGCCTTGGCTGTATTCAAGTGTCTATGTTTCCTGTAAAAAGGATGTGGTTTATACAATGTGTCTTTCTATGATTCTTTCAAGGTAGCCTACTGGGAATTATGTTTCCTATTCAAATTAGGTCAAAATACATTTTGGGAGGTAACAGGCTTCAAAAGAAGCATTACAGTAGGTAGAGGAGTGAAAATTGTTCTGTTTACTGATGTACTGTGCTGGAAGACAGGCTTAAAAGCCAGTGAGGCACTAATTCACATGTGTATTTGTGTGGGTTTTAAGACTCATGCAGCTTTTTGACAGCACTGCCAGACAGCAGCACGGTTCTGAAACAGTGGGAGCTCTTTGGCTGAGTTATTTTACCCCAGATAAATTAAGCCTGTTTTAACTGTTTGCCCAGTGAAAGTATCTTGATGAAAACTTGAGAACTGAATTCATTTGAATGTTTTATTTCAAAGTGTCATATTTGTATTTCTGCTTTCCAGCTGCCTTCCTGAGAGACAGAGTGTAATTCTTATTTGTAATATTCTGTTGTGGGGGGGACTTGCACTAGGAACATGACAGCCAGACACAATTCAAGATGTTCATTCCTTTTCTACTCCTCTTCTGAAAGGCACCCAATGTATCATCATGGGTAGAATTTTGTTAGCTGTTCTTCACCATGAGGAGAGCAGATTCTGTTTTGCTTATAGGTGAGGAGCTGAGACAAGCATGAAATATTCCAGCTTTAGACACCTGAGGGAAGACTATGCCTCTGTAATCGATACAAAAGTAACCCTCAGCACTGTTCCCTGGATGTACTCTTTTGCTTTCATTTGCGAGATCCAGAGAGATAAGAAGCTGGAAAGCCCAAATAAGCTGAAGCTAAGCACTGATACTCCAGGAGATCTGCCCAATGCAGCAAAATCAGTCAAAATACAAGTATGCTGTCTCATTTGTGAGCACAACCATTTTCTACCTCTAAATGGAACAGTGGATCTGAGGGTGTTCCTGTAATGTTCTTGCCTGTCAAGTTATTGAAAATTATGTATTTTTTTATCTTTCTCTTCCCTCAGGAGACAAGTATCTCCACACCTATCAGGAAACAGGAGACTTTGCTCTGAAATAACTGATAAACAAGTGTGAAGCATGAGGATCAACTCTGCTGTTCAGGCTGCTATTGACCTCACAGCAGGTGCTGCAGCACTGTTCCCTGGATGTACTCTTTTGCTTTCATTTGAGAGATCCAGAGAGATAAGAAGCTGGAAAGCCCAAATAAGCTGAAGCTAAGCACTGATACTCCAGGAGATCTGCCCAATGCAGCAAAATCAGTCAAAATACAAGTATGCTAAGTCTCATTTGTGAGCACAACCATTTTCTATCTCTAAATGGAAGAGTGGATCTGAGGGTGTTCCTGTAATGTTCTTGCCTGTCAAGTTATTGAAAATTATGTATTTTTTTATCTTTCTCTTCCCTCAGGAGACAAGTATCTCCACACCTATCAGGAAACAGGAGACTTTGCTCTGAAATAACTGATAAACAAGTGTGAAGCATGAGGATCAACTCTGCTGTTCAGGCTGCTATTGACCTCACAGCAGGTGCTGCAGGTAATGCTAAATTGCACAAAACTTCTGAGAAACAGTTTTAATGCCTTTGACAAATATAAAAGCAGTTTCCAGTTGCTAAAAAAGCTAAAGTTGCTAAAAAGCCTCACCCTCTGTGTTTTAAGGATATAAGGAGAAGCAGTGACCTCAGCCTGTGTTGTAACTGTATCACTATTGCTCCTCCCTGGTGAAACCCCTGCCACACAGTGAAGAAGACATAACACCTTTCTCAGACTAATAATTTTCTATAAGGAGGTTTAAGTTCTGCTTACATGAGTTTATGAATCAGTCAGAGAGCATCAGTAGAGTTTTGCAAGGAAGTCAGTGTGTGAGTGGTTGAGGTGCTGCTTTTGTCACAGGAACCGTCCCTAACTGAAAGGGACAAAAGGCTGTCTCAAGGGTTTCTGGCTCAGACAACATCCTGGTGTGAATCTCTAAAGCTTATGAAGCTCAGTAGTAGAACTGATGATGAATTTGTATAATTGATTTCCACTTCAGTGTACTCTGTGCTGTAAAATTTTGCTGGATCAGTTGTGTGGAAATGGTTGTACTTTCCCACTGATATTGCCATGTTGGTCATGTACGTGGCTCAGGGAAGCAATTTTGAACTCTGCCAGAGAAAAGGGGTCTTTTTGACACTTCTAACCTAACAGTGGTTATATGGAAAAGGTGGAAGATTTGTCTAATTTACTTTTGTAATTAGTTTAGACAATGTTAGTGATCTTTTTTTCTTTCCCACATAATAAATATTGCAGTCAGTCCTTCTATGGCAATGTTGATGCTGTGAATATGGCAGTATTAATGGTGTTAGGTGCATTCAATGGTAGTTATTTGCAGCCATTTGTCAGAGTGAAATTTAACAGTGCAGTGAGAAAGAAGGAGTAACAGCACAACCATTGTTGTGGCAATCTCTGCACTCTTTAGAAAATGTAATTAAGTAAGCAAACAGCTTGTTCCTTCAGAAAATGCATAACCTGGTTTTACCTTCCTCTCGAGACACAGTCTTGATTACCTGATAAGTAAAGACATATTGAGGCAAGCAAATTCTGCACAAGATTAAATATGTCATTTGACTGTCTGTGGTCATAGTCCTTTGCCTAGGATCTGAGCAACCTCTAATACCTTCTTTGATTCAGTAGGACTGTTTTCCCCGCCACTGCCACATTTTTAAGACCACACTTGTTTGAATGTTGAACTTTTTGGGTTTCTGGTTTCTTTTAATTTTGTGGGTGGGTTTTTTATGACTCTTTACTGCTGGCTCAAAGAATTTTTTTTTCTTAATATTTCAGATAATAACTAGGACTCTTGGTCTTTATCTTGAGGTTTACAAAGTTCATTTTTGCAGTTTACTAGGCTTTTTGAGACAACTCCAATAACAGCTTTTTTGGAACAGCCATTCTGTCAACTCACAATTTTTCAGCTTTACATTTCCAAGACCATTCCTGGTTTCCCTGGACATCTTCCAACAGCTATTATTTTATTACAGAAACCTAGCATTTGTCCTGTAGATTAATATCTACCTGCAAATAACACTGGCTGAGCCTTCCTAGCTCTGCTTTTCATTTGAAGCTTACATGGGTGTTACTGGTCTGAACCAGCTACTTTTCTCCTTGGTTATCCTTCCAGAGCAGGAAACTCTTTGTGTTTCCTTGCATGATTTGCTCTGAAGCTTTTAATGATCCATCTGATTGCGAATGAGGTTTTATAGCAGCTAGATCCTGAGTTTCTCTCAAAGGTCTGGAGTACCTCTTTGCAGAGAAGCAAGAACAATGTTATACAAATGTGTTTGCAGAGAATAAAATGGATTGCAAATAACACTAGTTAAACAAATACTTAACTCTTCTCCCCACTTAACAGAAAAATAACTAATCTTAATTGGATGCACAACTTTGTTTCCATTTCAGTTGCTTTCCTATCTGCATTTACAGATAATTAAAGGTATGTGCATGTCAATTGTGTTTTGGTTAAAGGTCAGCTTCTGTTTTAGTCAAGTTCTCTCTTGCTAAAAAACAAAACCATGAACCCTATATAAGGTACACTTATCATGTGTTTCCTGTCAAGTATCTGCTCTAATAGATTGCTATTGCTGTACACTGTTTCTCACTGAAAAAGTGTTACATCAGCTCTTCCTGCAGACTACAGAACTGGTTGCAGGAGAACACTACACTGTGAGCAAAATGGTTATTGATGACTTTGATGGAAATATCACACAAGTTTTCAGGGTATTGACCTTGCAGTTCAGTTTAGAAAAGATAACATGTTGGGAAACTTTGCCCTTTTGCCCTTTTTCAGCTTACACTTGACACTTCCAGTCTCTGGAAAGAAATGTGCTTAAGAGCCACCTGGAGTTTTGAAGTAAAGAGTTTGAGTCTTTGGTTATCAATTTATTATGTATGATCAGTTTAGCACTCTCAGCAGTGTTCCTCTTGTCCTGGAGGAATCACTTGATTACTAATCTTTCAGGGTGGAGATTTTTTTTGTTATTATTACAATGTAAAATCAGAGATGCCTTCTGAACCACTGCATTAATGGGCAAAGGAAAATGTCATTTAACTCACTGACACAAGTGACTTGATTGCAGAACAATACCTCTAATTCAGCACAAGTTTATAAAAGTGAGCTGATTCATTTAGATGCTTGCTTTTCACAAGATAAAAAAATATTTAATGAGAATCGTGATGTTACTGCTCCTTTGCCTGATTTTTTTTCTCTTAAGGTAACTAAATTCACCAGTGACAATTGACGCCATTGTGCTAAAATCAGAGCACTTGTCTTTTCCTACAGGGAATTAATTAATCTTTGCTTTCTGTGTGATTTTCCTAATACTGGTGCTCCAGCATAGGTGTTGCAGTTGTGATAACCTGCAGCCACTGTTAACTTTCACTGCTTGCCTAGGTGGGACAGCCTGTGTGGTGACTGGCCAGCCCTTTGACACTGCAAAGGTGAAGATGCAGACGTTCCCCAACATGTACAAAGGACTTGTTGACTGTTTTGTCAAAACCTATAAGCAAGTGGGATTTCGAGGCTTCTACAAGGGAACCTCACCAGCACTTGTAGCCAACATTGCAGAGAACTCCGTTCTGTTCATGTGCTATGGATTTTGCCAACAAATTGTGAGAAGAATTGTTGGAGTAGACAGGAAAACAAAGCTCAGGTTAGTAATAAATATCTGGTTTGTATTTTAAGATAAGTAAGTATATATAATTTAATGCAATTGCTATTTGCCAATACTGTACTGTCAGGTGCAAGTGAGGTCCCAGGCTCTCCTCTGGCAGCGTAAGTGTAGTAAATTTTGGAATATAGGCCTTAGTATGACAGTACAGTGTCTAATATAACAGAGCTGTCTACTAACCAGTCACTGCAGCTGGCTGGTTTAGATGATCACAGCTCAAGTGGAGTATTCAAGACCTGGAACATTTTTACCAATAGGATGGAGCATTTCAACACCTCTAAGTTTGTATTCCTTTAATATCAGGTTGTTCTGATTTTGCAGGGGGCTTTTCTTACAAGGAGGCATACTAAGGGAGAAGGGCACTTTTCTAATATTTTCTTGCTTTTAAAAATGTATTTATTTAAGGTTCAAAAGCTTGCTCACCCTACAAACCCCTTACCTTTTCCTACCCATTAAAATGTAGGAGGTAGGCCCACCAGCAATATGTTTATAATTTCTTCACTGTCTTTTGTGATCATCCTGGGAGCTAGACCACAGATGTGCAGGTGTCCTAGAATCACCTCACATGACTGAGGCACCATGGTCATGCTGGATGTAGGGAAGGTAGGGCAGGAAACTTTGAAACAGGATATTGGTGTGCTACTCTGTCTTTGGAGTTGGATACAGAATGGGAATGTGAGTACATAGCAATAGCAAGCACCTTTGGCATCTGAAAATTCCTTCCTTGGTCAAGTAATGGTGCTTTTCAGATCCAAGATACCTTGTTGATTCAAGGTCAAATAGTGTGACTGCAGAGCTGTTCTGGGACAAAACATTAAAGAATTTAAATTTACTTGAAAGATTGTCCCTTGGTGTTGTTTCCTTATTCTCTTCATCTGGATCATTGTGGGGGCACCTTATGAGGCACAAGTAAGAGAGAATTATATTGACATGGTCTTCAGCAGGGCCCTGATGAGAACATGTGGTCTGTCCATGACATCCCCACCCATTGTTACTGTATGGTTACACCTTCAGAAAAGGACAAACTATAAAACATTTTTCAGTTAAATGAATACATATCACTGATGCATAAGTCACAGAGAAAAGAAATTGAGAGAAATGCTAAATTCTGTTTATCTTTTAACATACGCTTAGTTTAACTAACAGATTTCATCATAAAGTCTAAAGTGAGACAACAAATTGGAAAGAGAAGTGCTACATTCCACTGCTGCTCTGCAGGCAGTTACTGATACTTTCCACTTTGAAAGTTCTCATTACCACTATATCTGAATGTCATGAGCTTTGCTTCATGTCATAACTTGAGATTTGTGATGCTTCAGGGTGAAAAATTGTAGGTTTAATCTCTCATACCATAGATGTATCAAACTGCTGGGCACAAGGCAACACCTCCCTTGGATGGAAAGAATTTCTGTGCTGCAGTGAGATCAGTCTCAGCTGTGCTGACTCCCCAGGTTCTGAAAGAGAAGCTCCACTTCTATGGTATTATGCAGCTCCTGTCCAAAACACCAGGCTCTGTAGGAGCCTGTTTAAAATGCATCAAAAAGCAGTGTTGCTCCCAAGTACCAGCCTTTTGAATCCTGGCAGTTTAGCAACCCAGGATCTGTGGTATGTGTAAAATCGCCACAAAATAAGCCCCAGTTTTGGAACACTGAATCACTGCAGATGACAGTGCTGTCTTGTTTGGTGATGTGGTTTGTTTGTGCTGTCTCTGATTCACATGGTTGCATTCATAGCAGCACATCCATACAAAGATTACAGTGATCCATTGTGCCTGCTTTCAGTTTTCTAGCATCTTCTACTGAAAGCCTTTATTAATACTGATAAGGTGAATTTGAAAATACTGACATGTATCTATATGAGGTAACTATTGCTCCTATTCTCTTTGAGGAAGGGAAGTAGTAAGTAACCAAAAGTTGCCCAGTAAAACAAGTCTATGGAAATCTTCATAAATGCTATCAAATCTTCCCTTCCTGGCTTTTACTCTGCTCCAATTACTAAAGTACAGCAAAAAGGTTAGAGGTTGCAACATATCTCTTTGGTGTCAAAAGGGTGTCTTTCAGTTGTATAAGAATATGGGATGAGCTGGGTTTTTCCTCCCTCTGGTTCAAGTAACTGCCCTTTAGAATCTTTCCCCCAAGACTGCCAGTTTTTCTTGATGGTATTTAGGGTACAGGTGCAGGAAGCTGACTGCTGGTGCAGTGGCTCCACTGCACTGAAGGTCAGTGCCCAAATACCTTCTGCAGTTTCTTTCTTGCAGTGACCTACAGAATGCTGCTGCAGGCTCCTTTGCCTCTGCCTTTGCCACCCTTGTCCTCTGTCCCACAGAGCTGGTGAAGTGCCGCCTACAGGCCATGCATGAAATGGAGTTGTCAGGAAAGATAATCCAGGGACACAAGTAAGTATACACCCAGCTCAATGTCCCTGAAACTTTTTCTTGTGTATTATTTCTTCAAATCCTCAATTGGCTCAGTGTCACATTTATAGTGCACTGCTAACCAGAGAGGAGTTGTGGCTGGGAGGGTCAGAGCCTGCTGACCTTCTGGGTGCTAGTAAAGCTGGATGCCAGTGAAGGGCTCCCAGCAGGATCTTGCTTTAAGTCTTATATGAATTCAATTGCTTGCACAACAGGTGTCCCTATTAATTGTTGCTGAAGTTGCCTATTGGTCTGTAACTTCTCATTATCTGGCTAGTAATTATCACTAACTGGGTCAACCTCTCTCAGTACAGTTTGGTCAGTAGTGAAGGGTGTTATCCAAAAGGATGGTCCCCTTGGATTCTATCGTGGCCTGTCAAGCACTTTGCTGCGGGAAGTCCCAGGCTATTTCTTCTTCTTTGGAGGGTATGAGCTGAGCCGGACATTCTTTGCCTCTGGGAGATCAAAAGATGAATTAGGTATGGTGCCTTTTTACAGGTGGGTTTTAGCATGCTGTCATGGGAGACATAAAGGGGGGCATACCTTCCCTGAAGATATACTAATCCTGTTGTAAAATCCATGCAAAATTAAGGAAATTAGGCATATTAAATATGGAGGGCTGTGTCTTGTGTATACACAGTAATAAATTATTGAAGTGACAATTTTCCAATGAAGCAGTTTGTATCATAGAGAATTAACACAGTGAGCTGACACTACAAAACTGCTGAAATATCTGACCCCACAGAGTAACACAACTCTGAACTATTTCATATCAGCTGCCATTCAGAGTGATTTTGAAGTATTTAGCTGAATTCTCTTGAACAGTATGTTCAAGTACATGCTGAACTGCATGCTGACCATTAGATGTAGTTACAATGATAGTAAGAGAACACTGAGATTGAAAATTAGAAAAGAAAAAAAACATGGTGATGCCAGAATAAAGATTGCCTGTCTCCTGTTAAAAGACTGAACCAGTCTTGCTTGGAGTCAGGATTTCAGCTGCATGCATTTTGGACATGTAACAAAACACAAACATCTGATCTGAAATACAAAATCAGGGCATATCATGAAAGAAATGACTGATTGCAAAATAACTCTACTGTATCAAATTCTGTATATATGATTAGTAACACTATATGATGTTACTCTAAACCATTTCACAATTAACCCTGGAAAGTGATTACAAGTGTTAAAAAGTGAATTTAGTTAATACAATCAAAATTGAATTCTGAGTTACAGTTTTTTAAAATGGCCAATAATCTAAGAGGCACTCTTTATAATCTTTAAGTTTCTAGTTAAGACTTGCACTTTATCAGCAGCTTGAAATTAACTTAAAGGTTAGAGAGAGAACAGCAACTGCTGTTTTGACATAAGCAGCTTCCTCTGTTCCCTTTGAATCCTATAGATTAAATAATGTTATATTTATGTTGGTGAATACTGTGGTGTATAAAAATATATTTCTTAACTTTTAGGTCCCATCCCTTTGTTACTAAGTGGAGGTTTTGGAGGCAGCTGTCTGTGGATTGCTGTGTATCCTGTGGACTGTGTCAAATCTAGAATTCAGGTTCTCTCAATGGCTGGAAAACAAGCAGGCTTTATGGGAACATTTGTAACTGTTGTGAGAACTGAAGGTGAGTATCCAAGCAGATCAACTGAATCTATAGGGCTGCAGGCTGAAATCTATACCCTCCAATACCCAAAAACACTTAAGAAAGCTAGTCCAGTGATAAGGTCTGTTAGAGACAGACAACTGTTTTTAGCGAGCAAATATCTACTTCATGTAGTGTGGAAAGCTTGGAATCTAGAAACTGAGACCTACTTCATCTTCCCTGCCTCTTGGTTCAGGAGATGACTCATTTAAACCTAACAGAAGCATTACTATGCATTAAAAGCAGATTAAAATATGGGCTCCATTACTTGTGACCTATACATGAAACCTGAAGGAACTAGGTAAGTTCCATGCAGAAATTTTCTTCACCTCTAGAAATTAATATACGGTTGAGGATTGATTTATCAAACAGCCCTATCCAGCCTGGCAACTTGAGGCATCTACCTCAGCATCTCTCTGGAAAAGGCCTGTGTCAGGCACTTTGGAAAAGGGTCTAAGAATATACATGGCAGCAGACATGAATCCTGGCCCTATTGCTAGGTAAGATACTCATCAGAACTGGAGTCTTACTTGGGGCACAGCTCTAACATAGTCTTGCTGCCCCTTTGCCAGCTGTGGTACAGCCACTGCCAAGTTATCTCAGCTGGCCAAGACCTTGTCATACCTGAAATAAGCATCTAGCATAAGCCCTTGCATGGCTGAACTCCTGTTACAACATTAGAAACTCCCATATCAATATCCAGTACCACTGCAATCAGTAGCTACAGCGAGTTCAGCTCTCTGTGTTCATGCTCCTCTAAGCAGAAGCATTGCTTCAGTATCCTTCAGAGGTAAGAGCAGAGTGGTTGATGCAGACAGCCACTTGAATAAATTGCTAACTGGCTCTGGTTTCGTTTCTAGGCGTGCTTGCCTTGTATTCTGGACTAACACCAACTATGATCCGTGCATTTGTGGCCAACGGGGCACTGTTCCTTGCCTACGAGTACAGCCGGAAGCTCATGATGAAACACATAGATTCTTACTGATCCCGCCTAGCAAACGAAGAACGAGAGATTGCTTAAGGGTCATTTAAATAAATGATGAAAAACACATAGATCACATGATGGTCTGAGCAGAACCAAATCAGTGACCTAATTTTAGGAACTCAACTCCAGTTTAAGATTTGTAATCTTTTAAAATCAGGTGATTTTATGGAGGTGTGTATATGTTGCTTGAATTGCACAAGCAGAACTATCTCCCTCTTACAGATTATGCACTAGGTACACTGCATGTCATAAATGTCTTTCCTGACCTGTACTGGTGCTAAAAATATTTGCATTGACCTGTGGGGTTTAATGTAACATGCAAGAGTAGGTTGTGAGTTGTCTACAGCAAAGCACTGGTTTTAAAACTGTGCTGCAATTGTGACCTTTTGCAGTTGTTGCTGATGTCTGACCCAAAATAACATCAGTTCTTGGCTAATCTTGCTGAACATAGATGACTTGGACATACCCCTCACCCAGAGAGACCTTTCCTTCTCCAGCTACACCCCTGTCCTGCTCTGGCTCCCTGCTGCTTTGTGACTTGCTAAGGTCATGGAAGAGGGTGTCTGACTTACATACTCTGTCCTAGTGAATGGGTTTATAAAAGTAGGAAACATTCACCCCCTACTTTATATGAGACTTAGAGCCCAAGATATGCCTATATTTTTGATAAAAGCACAGTAACAACATTAAGGCTATGCTGCACTGCATCCTTTCAAGAAGTGCTGGAGTATGCTAAGCACCACTTAACATAGGGACACTGCTGAAAATAGCTGCTGCCTCTGAGCACAGAACTGTGACTGTGCAGGCTGCCACTTAGATCACCTTGGCATGAATGAGGCCACATGCTGGAAGGACAGGAAGCTGAAGAGGAACAGACAGCCAGAACTGAGTTGTTAACTGACACCATGGTCTCTGACATAGCAGTCTTACTGGGGCTGGAGTCTTGCTGCTTGCTGTGCCTCTTCAGCTGAGTGGAAAAAGCTCATATGACTGGATAGCTTGTATCACCTTCAGGCCTGGAGGGCATGGCCTGCTCTGTCATGTTATTTGATGAAATATGCAGTTAGTCAGTATTACCCAAAACGATGCAGTGACACCTCTCTCTAGATGCCCCTTTTGTTCTTAAAGTAGAATGCTCTTTTTACAAGCATGTTCTGCTTTGTGAGAAGCAGCTACTGCCTTATCCTGGAATAAGTTGAGCAGCTCTTAGAACAGCACAAACTTGTCCTGAGTTGTACAGAGATGCTGCCTGGGTGCTCTAACTGCAGCCCACCAGTATGGGGGCAGTGGGGGGCACAGACAGAGCCCTTTAACTCACTGAGATCATCACAGCTACATGGAGATTAGCAGCTTGTCACAGCAACCACATTTGTCAGTGACAGACAGAGCTGGAACAACCTAGTTTTGCATGTTACAGCTTCCCTTTTAGATCCCAGAAATAGGAACAAGCTTTAGGCATAGATGAAATCCCTCAATACCTGCTGCCTCTTGCAGTGGAGCCAGGGTGCACTTAAACTGGCTCATTCCTTGCATTGTTGCAGCCTCTTTGATGGAAGGTGGTTGCTGCAGTTCCACAAAATCTTCTTGCTCCTCCAGCCTCCAAGTGCAGAAAGAACAATTCATCTCCCTTTCATATACCACGGGAAAAGGCAGTTAAAGCAGGGCATGCCTGAAGAATCTTCAGTGTCTACTGCACCAATACAGCCTGACTGACTGATACAATAGGGGCAGCACTACTCTGCATTGCCAGTACTTTAAAAGGAATTTATACCAAATGTTCAAATGATTCAGGTAGGAGCATGAGGCTTTAAGAGTTGTTAGACTTCCCCTTCTTTTTAAAGTTGTCTAGCTAAGAGAAATAGTATATTTGTACATGTTTCTAATAGTTATGAAAAGGTGAGGACAGACTCCACCTCAGTGGAATACTTCAATCTATTTCTTAGATTTGTCTTTGCTTTCATTTTTTAAAGCTCATGGTTGCAGTTTTTAATACAAAAATTGAAGCTTCAAGAGAAGCAGGGTATTTAAAATAACCAACAGCAAGAAGCTGGTGGCATTTTGAGAGTTTACCTTCTGAAGTTGATGTAAGCAGTAATTTTTCCATTCAGAGCTGCTTAAGCTGTACACGTGTATCAGTTGTTCAGCTAAAAACTTCATGATGTTGTTATAGGAATTCACAGAAATAAAGTTTCATTTGATTAACTGAGTACCTGATGATTGTTTATGCCATTTAACAAACTCATCTAGCTAAGAAACAAAAAGTTTGACTTCAGCATCACCACCTTTCTGGAATGAAAGGAAAAGACTTTATACAATCAATGAACACATAAAGCCCTCAAAACTGAGGGGAAGGGGGCAGCTAGAGTAAGATGTTGTGAAATAACTGCTCATTTTACATCTATGGAAAATGAAACTCACAGTTCAGCACTTGGCCTGTTGCCTTGTTAGTACCAAAGTCAGTTCTAGTATTAATGTTCACCTCAAATTTCAAGTTGCTAGATTACCACGATATAGGTTGTAAGGTTTTCTGTCAGAAGAATGCCAGGAGTTCACCTAAATTCCACAAATATAAGGGATAAATATCCACTACCCTGTGAAGGTCAGTGCAGCAGGGAGGCAGGGACTATTGTTACCCTCTTCTGAGCAGTGGTGCCTGTTTCTCACAAGAGAAACATTGTATATCCCTTGTACAGCTATTTTGTTCCTCTTTCCTGCTTTCACATTCGTTTTTACTTAACTGCATGTGCTTCAGCTAGGAAAATCCGACTTGCTGCTACAGCCTCTGCTGCTGCTATCTGAACAAACTGGCTCACTCCCTAAGCAGGAAGATGGGTCACCTTAGGTGCCCTGCCAACTACATCAAAGGGCATCCTAGGACAGTGGACAGATATCCAATTGCCTGAGCTAAGCCAAAATGAACTTGGGCATCAGCCACTAGTAGCAATGAAAGGGCATCTTTTTTTAGCCCCTAGCCACATTCACGTGGACCCTGAGGTAAATACATAGCAATAGCAGAAGTTGAGCCCACACATGCTATACCTCATAGTACATAACTACCTTCAAGTAAGCACAGGGAGGTACATGGCCTCTGCTTATTTCATCAACTGGAAAGCTATGTCATTTCCCTTCCACTTTTTGGCTCCCAGGAACAAGACTAATGAAGCAGCAGAACCAAGAAGCTAACACCTCAATACATTTCACACAAATGAAGGCACAGTCTCCACAGAAGAGCTGCACTGCTGAAAATAGTTGGAAGTAGAATAAGCATCCTGGAAGTTTGTGCATTACAGGTCTTAGTACAACTCAAGAGGAGCCAGTGAGGATTCACACTATTTGCTCAAATGAGCAGGTGCACAGATCCAACCCCTCATATGCAGGCATTAAGGCAGCCACACTGATCCCAGGCAGCTGGAATGCTCAGCAGCTGATGACAGCCAGTCATAGGGCAAGTGGCCATTGCAGCCCTTTGTGGAGAGGTACAGCAGTAGAAAAGCAGCTGAGCAGTCTCCAACCTCCACAGGCATCTCCCAGGCCAGGTGTTGCTCAAAGCACTACAGCACTGATTACTGATGAAGAGCAGTTCAATACCAAGACTTCAGCTCAAGATGCAACAATCCAACAGAGGGAGATTAATATTTCTCCCTCAAAATTGCCATATTCTACTGATTTGTGGAAAACCCCAATATTGAGGGAATGTCAGGCTTTTCCAGTCTCATGCAGACTGCTGGTCTTCATCCACCATCACATTAATTCTCATGCTTAAAGACAGGCAATTGTCTTTGATTACTCAAACAAGAATTAGCTGTATGCAGAGGTACCTAAGCTCCAAGAATCCAACAGCCCATGATGTGACAGTCAACTGACCTTAAGTAACTCTTCAGAGTATTTTGGCCCCACAGAACTTCGTGTAGCTTTATTTGAGAAGTTGTACTTAGTGTATTTCTGTGTAGATACATCCAAGTGACACTGCTTCATTTTATACTGAAACAGACATTCTCCAGGAAAGAGATGAATTTTACATGTTTTCCTTCTTTCAGATTTCCCTTATGCATCAATAAAGTTCACCTCCACAGCAAATGTCTCACTATACACTTTCCATGTTTTAGACTTGTGAGGGTTATCCAACTCATTCCTGGGAAGGTAGAGTCTGAAAGACAAAATTCAGTAGCACATCTTACAGCCTAAGACATGCTTTTCCTTTCAGCCAGCTGAAAAATCTAGCTCAGCCCTAGAATACTAAATCCAGCCCCAGACCTTGAATTTAAACAGACATCAGCCATGCTTGCACAGTGTTTTGTATCTTAAGTTGTCTCAGAAACAAAGGCAACCTGATGGGTTTGTGGATTGGCTCCCCACCACCCTCCCAGAGCCCCACAGTGCAAGACAGAGAGAAATTAATACTGCATTCAGCTCAAGGTCTCCTGATATGATGCAAGTGCCAGGAATTTAATAACCAACCTTCCTAAAGGCAAAGATTTGATTCAGTACTCAAAAGGTAGCCTTTTGTGGGGCATCATCCATAGTTCTGGAGGAAAGAAAGCTCTTCAGCAAAACCCTCAAGATGGCAACATTGCAGGGCCATCAGACAACTGGCATACACTTTTCCTGGCACTGGCTTGGTTTAATTGGTCTGCATCAAAACTGCAAGGTGCATTGCTGGCTGAGCATTTTAAGTTAACTGTTACAAAGAGACTCATGGCTACCTCTCCTCAGGCTCAGTTAAGTAAAAACTATCTTCTTTCTATTCCAGTCATGGAGAACACAGTAATTATATCTCCTATGCCAAGTTCACTGTTCCTCTACCTAAATCTGTCAAGCAAGGCACACCAAAGATAAGGTTCTCTTGTCTCTGCATTTTACATCACTCCCAAAGCAAGGCAGACAAGCCCAACTTTCACCAGCTGGAGCTTCTCTAGGAGTTCCAGTCTCTACAAGCAAAACCACAGTAATTTCTAACTTTATCAAGAGCATGAGAAGCCATAAGAAGGCCTTTCTTTGTGATTCCAAGCATCAGTACCTCTAACTGTGGTCGTAATGTCTGCCTGCTAAGCTACTGAGCTCCTGCTTCTCAGGCAGCCATACTATAGAGGATGGCAGATTTGAATAGTTAGCATTACACTTTTTAATTCAAATTCATTAACAATGGTTAGAGAGCACCAAGGAAATACTCCAGTGGTTTAAGTTAAGAATATGTTTATGTTTAATGTTTAAAATATTTGTCACAGCACAAGCAACTGCCAGCTCACAAGTTACAGCTGAGGATCAAAGACCAGTACCCACATGAAAGTTAGCTGGCTGATCAGGCCGGCCCTATCTCAGCTTTCAGTACTATGTTTATGATCTTTCAGCTCTATGCAGACACCAGAAGTTAGGATCTGAAGGCATTCACTAATATCCTTACCTGTTATTTTCAATAAAGGAAGTGTTGAACCAGAAAAAGAATGGGCAGCCATCATAGCCTTTTGGAAGAGCCTAAACACAAACACCTTGTTTAAGGACTGTGTTACACAACAGAACTTTTGTTTGTAGAGCAAGGGTACCCACTTTTCCTCACTAATTTGGTTTAAAAAGCTACAGTGCCAGAATCAGTATACTTGAAGAGCCCCATATCATACACAGATCACTATTTTCTCTGCAATAATTTCAGTACCAAGTCATTCAATACAATGAGGTGAGACTCCCATGGTTAGGAGCAGCAGGTACCCAACTAAAATGCCTTGGTTCTACTGCTGTTTGAACAGCCAGGTGCTTCCCCTGCTTGCCTAGGCTGGTATTACACCACTTGCTGCATCCCTCACTGCACAGTGAGACACAGCAGGAGTCACTGGGAAAGAACAGATTCTGCCCCGTGCTGCCCAGCCAGGCAGGACCCACTGCAGTTTGCACTGCAGCCTCTCCCCATACCCCACTGAAGGCCTTCACACTGGTGTACTTACAGAATTGCATTCGAATCTGACTTTCACATCACCACTTAGAACAGGGCAGTCTTCCAAGCCAATGACTACAGTGTCACTTTCAGAATCAAAGAAGAGCTGGATAACAGAATAAAGAATTTGTTTAATGAAAGTTTCTGCAGCAAGACAAGGGACCAATTCATAACAAGACCTAACTACTCATTCATAGTATCAAATACAACAGCCATGCTAGAATAACAGACAACAGTTTAAGCTGCTCAGGACAGAGTGAACTATTTGCATTTAAATGACTCCCAGGGAAATCTTTCACTATCTCACCACTACATTTATTAAGATTTGGCAAAGTTTAGCTTTTTCGTCCACTTGGAATTTACATCATCCATTTAGTTAGACTATGTAGAAATTGAATATTGGACAAAACCAAGACACTTTTAACCTATAAATCAGCTTTTAGCTTCTGTGACTCAACTTGTATATCTTCATAGTACTCACCCTGCAGTTTTTTTGATTGCCACATACACATTGTAGTACAACTCTCTTCTTTATTATTATCTGCACCTTCATATCAGTTCCATTGCCTTTCCCAACTCCTAGGAACAAAGTGTTGCATTATACTAGAGGTATAGACATTAGTTGGAAACATAAGTAGTCGTGAAAACCAAGTGCAATCCCATTCAAAACTGCTTTCTTTCCAGAATGCCTTGCTCAAGACTCTAGAAATCTCAAATTCTAGAGGAAAGCCAGGATTCAGTAGATGAAAATTGAATGTTGAAGTTCCCCCCACTAGGGGAACAGGCTAATGTAAAATCTAGTTCCATTTACTGAACACTAACAGCAGTTTGAACTCCCCTGGAACGAGGAGTGATGAACTTCCAGCCTTTGATCAAGATTATCAATACACATATACTGTAACAGGCATGTATCTAAAGCTCAGAAACATTAGTGGATCCAGTTCCACAAGGGGAGGTAGTCTCACTTAAAAAGTGATTCCCCTTCGAAAAAAGGGCAGGTTGTATGTGAGCCATCATTTGGTCAGACATCTAGGAAGTGATACAACACAGAGCAACTGACTACAAAATACTCATCATTATGTCTGCATCATTTAAATTCTCAAATCCCAGTAAGTCTACACTCCTATAAGGAGCTTAGCAAGAGAGAGTTATCAGCTGCCTGTAATAGGAAACCATTACCAGATAGAGAAATGACCAAATACAAGAGTTCTTACCATGTATAGTGTGGATTTTGAGGTTTTTTATTTTGAGTTGTCTCTCTGGTGGGAGTTCCAAGTTATACTTGTTTTTCAGGATCTCATAATACCCAACATACCTACTCTGTAATGCAAAAAACCCAGACACATTATGCAGTTTCTGTATCTACCACAGATTAATTCTAGGCAGAAGAAGAATTTAAATATATATTTTACTCCAAATTTTTAGCTCTTCAAAGTCCAAAACTAAGAAGAAAGACAATTGCACTCCTTCCCTTTCCCTGCAGAAACAATCTTGTAGACAAATTCAACGTCTACATTTTTAAACAGCATTTAAATTTCATGTTTTCAGAGGAATTCTGTACTTTTTAGTTCAGCAAGAAGTGAGGATATTTTATATTGTAACCTCAAGAGGCCAAATGTTTAAACATACTAGAAACTTTCATTTTATTGAAGGACAGCCGTACTTCTATTTTATACCAGCAATTTTAAGTACCCATCACAAGATGCACTTCCCAACTCTGCATCACACAGAACAGTAAATCAAGATGTGCAAAAAAAGTGGTCTGAGGCAAAAACTTGTGTAGTATTTCACAGTGAATGGAGTCTGCAGAAGATGCATTTCTCCACCCAAGCCAAATCAGTGCCATGGCCCCATCCCAGGCTCGGCCAGAGGCTTCTGTGCATCTTTGTTAAACAGTCCAATTGCCTTACAGTGTCATGCTCCTGTGAGGGTGCCCAGACATGCTGTGGAATCTGCATCTGTGCAAATGTTCTAGACCTGACCAGACACATCTGTCCAGGTCACCCTGCTTGAACAGTGGGGTTGGACTGAAAGCTTCCCCAGTCTCAAGAATTCTGTTGTTATCCTAGATACTATACTTCAGATCACAGTAAGGCATAAGGGGAAGGGGAAAGATGCAGGGCAACCCTGTCAGCTATTCATATTCCAGCTCTCACAGAAAGAGTACAGAAAGCTCAGGAGTTAAGCAAGTAATAGGAACCTACACCTCTGAAACAAGGCAGGGGAGGTAGGGTAGCACAAGCACTCACAAGGTTAGTATTGGTTTGACTACTGCTCTTGAACCTGCACGAGCTTACCTGTGAGGGTGTTTCAACACCTTGAAACTTGCTACTTGTGCTTCTATCAGTTCTTCTTTCCCCAAAGTAGTCCAAACTTTCCTACACAGAATGATAATGTCAAGGGTTAAGCTATCCATCCCACTACCATTCCCCTTCTTGAGAAGCAGACAGTAAACTAGAACTACACTACTCAAGTCCGGTAAAGGAAAGCAAGTGGAAATATGCAATCATTATTTTGGTACTTTCTAAAGGAGAATTTTAACTACAAGAAGAAAGTAATAATTAGGAGGTCAGAGACATAAATCTGTCATTTATGAAAGAGTGAAGGAGGGCAATACAACTTCCAAGCAATTGCTTTAGAACCATTTATATTTCTTAAGTGGTCTGTGGCAGACCAAGCTGAAGACTAGCTCATATCTTCACAAAGCTAATTCAGAGGAAAACAAGTGATTAAATGGATATACATATACAGTCTGCCCAGACTACCTTGAGTGTCCTGGGCCTCCTGCATCCCCAGCCTCCAGCTGATATATCAGACCTGGGATACTAAAGCAGCATCAGCACCTGTCCTGGCTGGGACTTGATCTTTCTCCCTTTTCCTAGAAGAGCTTCCTTTTGTAATGCTGGCTGTCAAGACAAGACAATTCTTGATGCCTCACACTACTTGGAGGGAGACTGGGAAAAAAATTGCTTAAAACTACTTAAAACCAGTGATACTATCTTTTGGAGTCACCAGCTTAGGTTGTTGCTCAAGACCCTAGACACATTATTCCTCCAAAAAGAATCCTTCAAGTTGGTAACCTTTTAAAGGCTATTCTCTCACTTCTTTTAGATCACAAATAGTCTCCATCAGTATTTACACTGTAGTAAGACTTCAATGAACTTTCTTAAAACCAGACTTTTCAGATAATCTTTTTTCTAGTATAGAATTTTTGCAGAGTATTAGTGCATTTCACCAATTCAGTACATCCTAAGAGGACATTTTGAATACTAAACAAATAAAAAAAATAATCAGCAGTTTTTACCTTTGCGCTCTCAAACTGGTCACTGTCTATGAGCCACGTGCAGACCATTGTTCCAGTCCTGCCTGTAACAGGCATACAGTACAAGTTAAATGAGAGTAGTTCAAAGGTATTTGGGATTATTTTTGTGAAAGTGAAGTTATCTCCTGTTACCTCTTTCAAGAGTTGTAAGTGACAGACAAGTAGTCAAGTATTTCTGAGAAGAATCAGTTAAAGACAAGATACTACAGTATGTAGTATTGTTTGTGGTATCAACTTGTTCCTTGTCCCCACATTTTCATTACTAGGGACACTTAGGCACCTGGTCAGTATCTGCATACTCCAGCAGGAAATAGAGTTAAGCACTCTAGTAAATGAGGCTACAAACTGAAACTTCCAATGCTGCAAGTGTCAAGAGCGGCTGCTCTGCCCCAGCTGTTTTCCCTCCAACCCTACTAAGAAGCCATTAAGTCTGCTAGCAGGAAGATACCTATACAGTTTCAGTTTTTAATTTAAAAATCTCAGAGGACAAGTCACCCTCCCTACACTTGTTCTTCAAACTGGTTTTGACCTGCAGGTAGTTTCAACATTCAGTTTTGCAAAACCTTTTAAGACAGAGCTCCACCTGGGGGCAACTATTTAATGTTAAGTAACCACCTACTTTTAAGCCAAGTATTTGCAGTAGTAATGGCAGGTGGCTAAAGGTGTGGCAGATATTTGCAGGGAAATTTGTCTTACTTGCAGACCTTTATGCATTTCAACAGCTCCCACACCACTGTTGGTTCAGGTAGCAACTGCAGGTTAGCTCATACGTTTGATAGCTTTCACTATTCTTGTTTCCATAAAACTTCATTGTACTCTATCACCTAATATCATGTGTATCTTGATTTAAGGTCCAGCAGTAACTGGAACATTCTAGAGGGATACAGTTATGGAGCAGGATCATCTTGAGTGGTATCACAACAAATACAGCACAACCGGGGATCAGGCCCAGTCAACATGGATTTATGAAGGGCAGGTCCAGCTTGATCAACATGAACTCCTTCTATGAGATGGTGACCCACTTAATGGATGAGGGAAATGCTATGGCTGTTTGTCTACTTGGGCTTTAGTAAAGCCTTTGACACCATTTCCCACAGCATTCTCCTGGAGAAACTGCCTGCTCATGGCTTGGACAGATGCACTCTTGACTGGGTAAAAACCTGTCTGGAGGCCAGGTTCAGGGAATCGAGGTGGATGAAGTTACATCAAGGTGGCAGCTGGTCACTAGTGGTGATCCCAGGGAACAGGATGGAGGCCAGTTCTGTTTAATGTCTTTACCAACAATTTGGACAAGGGAACTGAGTGCATCCTCAGTTAGTTTGAAGAAGACACCAAGTTGAGTAGGAGGATCTGCTAGAGGGCAGGGACAGGCTGGATCAATAGAGCAAGGACAACTGTATGAGGTTCAGTACAGTGAAGGGCTGGGACCTGCACTTGAGTCACAACAACCCCACAGAGTGCTACAGGCTCAAGAAATATTGGCTGAAAAGCAGCCCACTGGAAAGACTTGAGGGTGCTGGTTAACAGCAGCTGAACATGAATCAGAGTGTGCCCAGGTGGCCAGGAAGGCCAATGGCATTCTGGCCTGTATCAGCAATATTCTGGCCAGCGAGACCAAGGCAGTGATTGTCCCTCTATGCTCATCACTGGAGAGACTGCACCTTGAATCCTGCATTAAGTTTTGGGTTCCTCACAGCAAGAAAGACACTGAGATGCTAGAGTGTGCCCAGAGAAGGGCAACAGAGCTGGGGAAGGGTCTGGAGCACAAGTCTTCAAGGAGCAGCTGAGAGATCTGAGAGTGTTTAGCCTAGAGAAAAGGAGGCTCAGAGGAGACCTTTTCACTGTAGAAGTCATAGTGAAGTGGGGTTGGTCTCTTCCATCAAATAACAAGCAATAGGAGGAGAGGAAATGGCTTCAGGTTGTCCCAGAGAAGATTTAGATTGGCTATTAAGAAAAAATTTTTCTCCAACAGGGTCATCAAGCTCAGATCAAACAGGTTGCCCTGGAAAGCGGCCAAATCACCACTCCCAGAGATATGCCTGGAGATGTGCAGATGTGGCACTGAGAGACACAGTTTAGTAGTAGATCTGGTAGTACTGGATTAACAGTTGGACTTGATCTTAAATGTCTTTTTTCAACCTAAACAACGGATAGTTTGAGCCATATTTACAGTGCACAATATTCAGCATGGGTGACTGGCTATCAGATGCCAAAGCAGCAGCCTAACACTTTTAATAGCAATTTCACCAGCCTCCCTATCCCCAGTCTCTCCTGGGAGACTGCTGTCCCAGCTGCCAGAAAACCAGAAAGTTATTGTGGCTATCAGATGCCAAAGCAGCAGCCTAACACTTTTAATAGCAATTTCACTAGCCTCCCTATCCCCAGTCTCTCCTGGGGGACTGCTGTCCCAGCTGCCAGAAAACCCGAAAGTTATTAAGAACATTTCAGGAGACATAATAACAGCTTAGACTAAGAACCAGTTTAGACTAAAAATGGAGCTGTTTAATACTAAACAGAGTACTGTACTCATACTAGTCATCACGGTGTCTGCAGTATTTGTCAAATTACATCGTAAACCCATCTCATAGTAAGGATTAAGGCCAAACTTTAATCAAAGAAGCTACAATAACATAGAAGCATGATTTGTAGCATACACAGATTGCACATGAGAAATCCTACCTTTGCCCCCTTTACAGTGAATTGCTATAACATTCTTCTCATCTTGACTCATCCATTCACGGACACTGGCAGTGAATTTCAGCATGTCCCTAAATAAGAGGAAAGTCAGCAGATCAAGGCAAATGCCTACATAGAACTATTACAACGTATGTATTTTCTTGACAAGACTCACTGTAGTGCTGGGACATTGTGGTCATCAATGAAGATCCTTTCCACCCTGTAGTGAAAGTACTTGGGGTCATAGCCTTGCTCACCTACAAGGAAAGATCTGAAGTTATGCCAGGAAGGGAGAAGGATTGTAACAAAGACAGTGGTTTGTAACACACAACAGCTGGTCTGAGCATGTATTAGTGTCTAAAACACAGCAGTGTTAATAGATGGATTAAAATGAAAAGAAACAGAGGTAACTTAGCTAAAGCCGTGCATGCTTAGCTTCTGGTTTCATACTTTTCACTTATACATTAAATTTTATCTCAAATATAGTCAGCAGCTAAACATACTTACTGCAGAGATTATAGACTTTATAGTGGCCTGGATGTTTGGTGTCCAAAAATCTTGCAACTTCCTAAGCAATAATGAGTTCAGAGTAGTTAGTGCTCTACTGGTTATTTCCACTGCCACCTCAACCCCCCATCCCCCAGGTTGGATCAACAGCTGCAGTCATGAACAGCACTTGGAAAGCAGGCCTTTCCAACCTGACAGCTCACGTTCTCATCTAGAATAAAAGTACTACTGCAGCTATCTTCCTGGCCTATACGTTTCTACAATATCAGGAAGCACAGCTCTGAGAAGGACATTATGTATACAGACCTTTAAAGCAACTTTATTGAGGTGAATAGATCTTATCACCATTACTAGCCTGGGACAGAACCACCCTGATTTTTCAAAACATTCCCAAAGAACAGGAGCATCAAAGCACTGGTGTGTCTCCACTGTGAGAAAAAAACCACTAGGTTTAGCTGAGACACTACAGCATAAGCAGTGCAGCACAGTGGAGAACATCAATCAGTCATTCCAACCAGCAAAGGCGGCAAAACTAGGACTGACATGATCTAGGCCACATGTAAATTAGTGGGAACCTATAAAAGAAACAGGTTTCAGAAACAGTGAATTTGGTAGGTAAGATTTTTACCTTTATGGGATTCCTGTAGAAAGACTGCTTCCCAGAAGATGGAAATGACATTGCAATAATTCGATCTGTTGAGAAGACAGCAATCACAAGTAACAGCAGGAAGCCCCTCTGCATATAGGAACTACAAGACTGAGAAACATCCTTATGAAATGTCTTATTCTTACCCTAATTATAAGAACAATCTGCCCATTTCTGGTAGGCTTCCTCTACATTTAGCATAGCTAGAGCAAGACAGATAATGCTTTCCAAAGCATCAGCCACCATCAAGTGTCAGACTCCATAGAATCAGAAGCAAAAATACTGTAAGTAAAGAGTTCCCCAACACTGGTTCCCTAGGCCTAGGGAACTAAGATAAATTTCTGTCATTACATACAGCACGTACAACTCTCCCAGAAGGCTAATTCTGGAGAATAGTGTCAGTCAGGAATCCATATTTCAAAATCCCACAGAAAAGGAGTAGGCCTGGTTTGACTTCATCAATTTCATGAGTCTAAAACACGTCAATAATTCATGACAAGCTCTTATTAACTGCAAAACAAGTTTGCACAGGACATAACATGCTGCAAAGTGACATTTGTTTCCACAAACCAGTAATATAAGTGAGATCCAGATCAAAGCCATCTTTCACATAACGTCTTTTGTTTTCAGAGACCTGAATAACAACAAAAAAAAAGCCCAAAAAAAAGAGAGTTAATCTTCCACAAGAATGCCAATGATCACCAATTGTTGCCTGTTATTAGAAAAATTCAACCATGTAGACTTTCCAGTTAAGCTTGAGTAGCAGAGCCTCACTTCATTACAACATTATCCAAGAGCAAATTCCTTGTATTAACTTCTAGGCAGAAGCTCTGTATAGAATTTTTACCCTTAAATACCAAAATTTCTTCTAGTGAAAAGAACAATCAAGAATCTATGAATACTGCAGCATGAATCTGTCATTGTTATTTGAGTGTTTGGAGACTGAGGGAAAAAAGAATAAAGTTAAGGACTGCTAATTCCTAAACAATAGGACATACTTGAAGCTTAAGATATGACTTCAACAGCCCTGATGAAAATAAGAGGCATTGACAGTGGATAGGGCTTCACCAGCTAGATTGGTTTGTTTGTACCCAAAATAAAGCACCTAATTAGAACTGCTACCTTTCCCTATGTGAGGGAAAACAGTCTATGTACCACACAAGCTAGAAACTGTCAGTGGAGACACACAGGGGTGTTGCAATCCCTTTGATATGCCGGCCTTCCAGGTCAAGTTGCTGCTTACTTGAACAAAGCCAAGAATGACAAGGCTTTATTGAGGCTGGAAGCAAAGCTCCAGAGCCCTGTCAGGGACTTTGAACAGATGTGCTGCCTGGGCAACACAAGCAGTTGCAGACCAATAGGCCATGGTCAGTCTTGCTACTTGCCACTGACGCTGCCTGAAGAATGAGTTGGAAACTACTACTAAGTGGTCTAAATATGTTAAGAGGTCAACTTACCATTCTCCTGGTCACCCTTTCAAGTTGCTGCTTTTGTGAAGCCAGACGAAATATTCTTATCAAGATCACAATTCTCAGAATTCGGAGGAAAATAACCATTCTAGAGGACAGATTCAGTATGGAAGAAAATGGACACAAATAAACTTACAGGCAAAGATTAAAGCTGTTTAAAAGCTGTTTCAGGGAAAGATTAAAACTTTGTTTCATATGCTGAACTAGGGCATCTCAGGCTGATTTTGGAACAAATACAATATAATGGATTTATTGTTAAGGGTTTTTTGTGAGTACATGTTCTCAACAGCTAGCAGAACTAGGAAATCCCCTACTTGCTCAAACAGACTTCCACAGGCACCTCTGGCTAGAAAGCAACAAATTCCATTAACATTTCCCATGTTATTATCACCAAGTTTTTGTTCCCTGAAGCTTATTCTCAACTATACATTCAAGTGTATGTAGCCACACTAAAGTGTATGTAGCCACCTGAAAAATAACTAAAAAGAAACTAGACAGGCTAAGTACATCATGACTTGATTAAGAAACCTGAGAACAGATCAGCATATATCTTGTGTTTAATCATTTAGCAACCTGAACACTTGGTTTGGTTTGAGGAACTTTGAACTATTGTTGAACTTTGAAGCAAGAAAGAAGCTTAAGTGAGTAGCTCTATCAAAACAACTGAACAGGAGCAACTGCTTTCCCACACTCCTAGGGACAAGAGCAAACTAATATTCAATTCATTCCTTAAGGAGATAAGTGAGCATACATTTTAAGCAGCACACACACATTCTAGGTTTTGATACATTTGTGTAAAAATGCTGGTGAATACCAACAGTAAGGGAAACAAAACTCTGGTTTTGCTCACAATCTTCCCCCCACTGATATGGAGCTTAAAGTCAGAAAGGTAAGGTTGTCCTAAGGTTGTCCTGGATACCTGGAGGAAAGTTTCAATTTTTCCCTGAGCTTCTTCCAAATTCAGTATCACTGTCCTGTTTTCAAAACAGAATTTCCTTGGAGCTAGCAGCAAATGAGATTAACCAAAACTGGGTGAAAATGCCATAACCCATCTCCCCACAACTCTGAGAAGCAATTCTTCAAGATAAAAGCCTTTAAGGAAGTCAGCCTGTTAAGCATTAGCTCCCAGACTGATATCCAGCTCTCATTCCTCAAAGTCCTTTTATAGGTCAGACTTCAAGGAAACAGTTAACTCACCACAACACACACCTAACTAGACCAGATTAGAAAGAGAGGCTATATTCCTCCATCAGGGCAAGTTAGCTCTATGGTCTGTCACTGAAATTTCACTTGTCATATATAAGCTCGCATCCACATAAAAGCTGCTCAAATTCTAATTCTTCTGAGATGTATCAGATGCTTTAAGATTACTGTTTGCTTCTTGATGAAGGACTCAGGAAAGAAAAGTGATAAACCCCAGTAAGGCTACTGGGAATTAATTGGATTTTGTGGACACCACTGCTGTGTTAGGTAGGACAGCCACCATCTCAAGATTTGGGATTTGGTCAAATCTGAGGTATCATCTACTGTCAGATAGTAATATTTTGGTCAGAATACAATTTTATAGTCTTTAACAAGGGAAGCCTTACAGAGGGCCTCAAAAACTGAATGGGTAAGATAGCAGTCCCCAGCTGAGTGTCTTCTGAGACAGCAGTGTGAAGTCCTCTTTAGGCAAGACAAAAACTTATTCTAGATTCCTATCATCTTCAGCAAGTCAGAATACAAAGGACTTGCACGCATAGATTACAGCCAGGTGGGTCAGTGTAGAATCAGTCTTACTGCTAGCATAGCCTAGTAGAGATAAGAGTGCAGATTACCCTGTCACACTGCTCTTTTCCCCTCCTTTATCTAGGTGCTGCTATAAGATGAAAGCTGTTCGAGAAAAATGAGGCCATAGAACTGGGAAGTAATAATTAAAAACTCTGAAGAATGTTTAAGTCAACCTAGGAGAAAACTAGGCCGCAAAAGCTATTCCTTTGACAATTTTACTTCTTGATACCCAAGTTCAGCAAGCACTTTAAGAGAAAACTAGTACTTACAGATATTTGTCCAACTCTGGATTCTTCAATAACTAAACTTTTTGTTTTCTTCTGCAATAACGTTCCCCTCTTATTAGTGAGCTGAATTTGGGGCAGGGAGCAACTTTTTTTAAAAGAGCTCAACTTTTCCCTGGCTGATGCAAGAAAGTTTCTCTAAGTCAAACTAGTGCAGATATACTCAAAGCTGTAGTTGGGTCTCCATCAGGAATGGATTAATCTCACAGGTTATCATCCAATTAAGATACAGAAATCAGAAGGAAATATGACTTGAAGCAGCTTATGCACATAAACAGCATGTCTCCCCAGAGCATGGCTGAAAAATCCAGCATTATATTACCATGAAGCTTTTGGGAAAGCAAAGCAAAGGAAACAAGACAGTTTGGCAACTCCTTCTATTGCAAGATCCTTTAGACAGAGATCCTCCCTTTGTTGTCTCTTCCATTTGCTACGATAATGCAACTCTTCTTTCTGCCTTCTTCAGACCCTCCTCTCTATTAGGGCTACTGCACACCTTTCCCCAAAAAGTGCTTGAGTCAGAGCATTTGATGGCCCCACTTTTAGTTACCTCAACTAGTATGTTCAGATCCCCTCTGCCTTTGAGGCAGGGACAGCCTACAGCATAACCACAGATCAAAGCTGTGTGTTTATACTTCATTAATCTGTACCAGGACACATTATCACAGTCCCATCTGTGATCTCATATGCACAAATCTGGCTTAGAGGTGCCCAAAAAAATTCTTAGAAGATTATCAAGAAAAGAGCTCACACTTACCAGCTGCCATACCACTCTTACCTTGGTATCTCCTGTGCTGCACCAACATCTAAGAAGCAGTACGTCAAATTAATTAACAGGGTGCCCACCACTATACATGCATCCAAAATATTCAGTTTGGACTGGAAATAGTTCCTGAAGCTGAAACCAATGAGAGTTTTAGACAGATGTGAATATAGGTAGCAAAGACTGAACTGTATCTTCAAGAGAACAATCTATACGGAGCTACAGCTGGAGACATGCTCTCCTACAGTTTTTCTTAACACTAAGCACTGAAGTCTCACTAAGAAAGCAATCTTAGCCCTGATTTACACACATGTTATGGCAAAGTTGATGTAGCTTCCAAGTGCTCACTTATACTGAAAATACTTAAAGGTTGTTCTATAGAAGGGTAACACCACCAACATACACAGCCAAGAAAAGATGTGGCTATTATCTATGATTGACAGTTAGCTTACAGGAGACCATGTTCATAGCTCAAGCTTGAAGTTTTGCTTCCTTCCTAGCTTGAGGACTTGCCACATGGACTTAATTTTTGCCTATGTCTTACCCTTCAACAAATACCCTCAGGAGAACATCGATGAGAAAGAAGAGTGCTATTGCCAGGGAAACACCTTCAGGAATCTCTGTGCCCTTCTTTCTCTCACTGATAGCCAGATCCAAAATCACAACTATAATGTCCACAATGATAAGTACAACTCCAAATACTCTACAAAGAGAAAAAAACAAGGAAGTTTGAGAGGTAGGAATGAACACTTATCAACACTGAACAGCACAAATCCTGATTTCTAAGCTGTTCCAGCAAGAGTGTGTTCTCTTACATAGACTGAAGCCTACTTAATTAGAAGCTGAAGGTTTCCAATTGCATTTTTAAGTGCTATGCACAAATACCATCATCTATGTGGAACCATACATTTATCTCAGACACAGCTGTAGTTATTAATTTATGATTTCACAGTTATCTGGAAGCAATGCAAACCTGAATGCTTTAAGGCATACAAGAATCATTTCTGCTTTCACCTTACTCAGCTTCCCTCCCTCTAAGTTTAAGGGACTCAATACAGTTCCTTAAAAATAACTGTCTTTAATGCCTTGCCTTGTTCCAGCACCTAGACTACACAAACTGACCAACTGTTTGTTCAAAGGCTACCAGCCAAGAATAAGCCATTAAAGAGGTTTTATCCAAGTCAATGACATTTACAGTTCTGACTTTCAGCTGTTCTTGGAGAATGTAGTCATATCTGTTTAAACCTTATTTCTCAATTCTAGTAGTTTTCTCAAGTTATCTTTCCTGGGGGTGATTCAATACTTTAACACAAAGCAAGCTGGAGTTACTAATGTTTAAGGAGTTCTTAAGTTCTTACACCAGAAATGAAGACTATTGTTACCTTTCCCACATCATTATAAGCTCAAGCTTTTACCTGAATCCAAATGACATCACAAAGGGGGCAATTTTTCTCCTAGTTGCACTGCAAGAGAAGAGAACTGACATCAAGACATGTGACATTTTTCTACAGACATCAGCCACAAGGGCACTGTTACATTCTTTTGTTCACATTCCTTTTATTTTAGAATTTTGCATAGTAGTGACTTCTCTAAAATGAGATTACTCAATTGCATTCATGAAGTATATAGGTTAAGACAGTACTTGAAAACAGTGCTTTGATCACCTGTTAGAAAAAGTATCAATCAGCTTCCAGACCCTAGAAATACAGCAGTATGTACTGATCTGTAACATTATTCCATGTCACAATTCAATGACACTTGAACTCTGGCTTAGTAAGCTGTAAGAAGTGGGTTTATATTGGTCAAGAGGAAGACTGGAAGACAAACATCTCTTAATATATTTAGTTCCATATATTAACTTATTGTATCAGACCATTTTTTTCCCCAGGCCTGAAAAGAGCTGCACTTGTTAACAGCTCCCATGGAGAGAAGAATAGAAATCCCATTTCTGCTTTAAAAAAAGAAACATCAGTTTGGCTTTCAGATTGAAAATCCAAATAGTCTTTTAAGAAAAAGTGTTTCTGAAGCCAAGTTCTTCCAGTTGTGAGAATTATCTTTCAGTCCTGGCAAGGTCACAGCTCTTGTTTCCAGTTACAGTAGATTTTGTTGCCTCTTTGGTATGTTTTAAGCCCTTTGGTTTAGAACAAAGCTTTTATGTAACTCTCCTTCTAGCTGGAAGCCTTTTTCAATTACACCAAGAACTAAGGTAGAAGTTCTTGGTGTAGAACCTGCAAAACTCAAGTGCTGATAGTTTGAAAAACAGACTGCCAGTCTGTTAAGCAATCCCAAGATTACTTAACTACTTGTAAGCATCAAGTCTTCTCTTAGACACTTAGAAGAAAACACCTTTTTCAAGCATACTACTAACAGCAGGACTTACCATTAGTCCTAATATTCTGACAGAAAGTACTAATAGATTTATTTTGCACTGTTACAAGAAGTTTTTGTCAGCTCAGTAATGCATGCTGTACCCCAATGATCCTGTCCAAAATACCTGTTTCCTCCAGGATAACTTAAGCATTGCATTTCACTTGGTGCACTTCAATAACCCAGTTTAAGACAAAGTTAGGTACTTTTGAAGTGCTGAGGCAGCATCTTGCTGGGGTTACTGAATTAACCCACATTTTTCATTATTAGGTTCTTACTCTAAACTAAGGTACAAAGTCTAACCAGCAAACACTTGCATTCTTAAGCTGGAAGCATACACGTGGGTTGTAGTACTGATTATTCCTATGGAGGTCAAGGATGTAATGCTGTGCCTCATCCTGAAGGCAGCTTATAGCAAACACTTGCATTCTTAAGCTGGAAGCATACACGTGGGTATTGACTATTCCTATGGAAGTCAAGGATGTAATGCTGTGCCTCATCTGAAGGCAGCTTAGCATATAGAAGGTTTTCCTGGTATTTATGAAGCCAAATATCTAATGAAATATTGCAATAGTGACACTAATGGTTTCCTGGTCTATGTCTGTCCAGTCAAACCTACAATTGTAGTGGGGACACCAAGACTTCAACTTCCAGAGTCTATGGACAAATACCTCTAAGTAGGTACTCTACAGACCAAAATATATACACACACCACTCCAATTTGGCCTGCCAGCATCTTAAGTTGAAGGAAACATGGAACATTTTATTACATAATTAGCTTAGAGCTTTTGTGAAATACATTTGTAAATTCTGAAATCTAGAAAAACATGTTACATAGAATAACTGAAATAACAGGCTAAGGCTTACTGTTCTTGAGCTGCAGGACTTGCTTCTGACTCGACTAAGTTTCTGTAAGAGTAACATGAGGTAAACACTGCCAGGAAACAACTGCTTCAAGAAAAGAGGTAACTAGTAGCAAGTCCATTGTGTGCCACAATGCATATTCTTATGCCTAGGTACTCATTCACCTCATTGTCTCATCAGCACTTGTTCTTCAGTGCTCCCAAAAAAGGAATTTCTTTGGGAAAATTTAATCAATGTGGTCTGGACTGCTCATTCCCCATAATATAATGGACTTGTGTTCTTGGGTTGACTTTTATCTCTAGAGGGATAAAGAGGCTTCCACAACTTACTTGTTTTTGCTATATACTAGAAGAAATGTCAATATTAAGCATTTTACTGGGCTTATCTCTACTTCAACAAGCCACCTGCCTTTTTATTTTGGCTCATCAGATTCCACTTCTGGGGGTAAGCAAAGAAATTTAGTACATCATTAGCTTACTTGGAACAGGTGTCTGGTCCATCACCCTCATCACAACCATTATCAATCTTTACTGTGGCCTCTTCAGCTGTTGGAGAGCTGGCAAAGAAATAACACAAGTCACACACTGATAGAGGTGTCAACTCTATTGCTATGCTTTGTTGTTCCAAAAAAAATCAATTAACTGTCAAATGAACGGCAGCCTGAGCCAGAGCACAGGCCCAGCACCAGGGGAAGAAAGACTTCCCCCATGCTGGCACAGCTGAACCCCTTGGTTGGTGCTGATTTATTTCCTATTAGCAGCCTATTTCTCAAAAGTTTTCCCTTTCTGCCCAGCAGAGCATCCACGAGTCCACTAAGGACTCAACAGTCCAGGCTCCAGAAGTGCCAGAAATATGCATATGCAAAATGGCTTCAGAGAGTCCAAGTGACATTAATGCTGTTACAGTGACCTTCTTGTACAGAGAATTAATGTTTTCACCAGGAAAAGCCATAGCATAGAGATGTTTTTGTGCAGAGCAGGATACCAGACCGGAAACTGGAAGACCAGAGCAGCAGCTGAGCTAGTGCTAGAACAGCAGTTTTTTGGGGTAGTGGCTGTTTGCCATAACTTCCTTAAAAGGGTCTCTTCAGATCAAGTTTTTGGGTTTTTTTGAAGGCCACATGACAATTTCAGAGAAAAAGTGGAGCATCAAAATCCAGGAGTCTTTATTTCAGTCTTCTCCACAGAAATACTGTGATGCCTAATAGCACAGCCACAGTGTTTGCTGAGGCCCTGCCTCTGGTTTCACAGCTTCATGGGCAGGAACAGCTACACACACATATTCAATATTGATGTTTCCATGCTGTTCTGAGGCAGTCTAGCATGCTTAAAGCATCAGTGTAATAATTTTGAGGATTCAAATATTCTTCATCCTCCACAACAGACCCATGCACCAGCACTGCTACTGCAGTCTGGGCTAACCACCTTTTAAGCAAGAAGTTTAACAATGCTTCTCCTAGCATTATTCCTAGTTCCTAGTTCCAGAAACCAGTAGTGATGCTTCACCACCTGCACTCAGTATCAGGCTCAGTAGAAGAATCATTCTGATGCAGCAATTTTAGCATTCATGCTGTTCTGAGGCAGTCTAGCATGCTTAAAGCATCAGTGTAATAATTTTGAGGATTCAAATATTCTTCATCCTCCACAACAGACCCATGCACCAGCACTGCTACTGCAGTCTGGGCTAACCACCTTTTAAGCAAGAAGTTTAACAATGCTTCTCCTAGCACTAGCATTATTCCTAGTTCCTAGTTCCAGAAACCAGTAGTGATGCTTCACCACTGCACTCAGTATCAGGGTCAGTAGAAGAATTATTCTGATGCAGCAATTTTAGCATGCAAGCCTCATTTCCTAGCTCCAGAGTTTTCAGTGAGACCACCATCCTCATTTTGTTCCTAGAGTGGAAGCAAAGCTTTAGTGATGGATAGGCATTCAGGTTTGCTTCCCAGCTACTCTGACAAAACATTCACTTGGATGTTTACACTTACTGAACAGCAGAAATGCTTCACTTATTAAAGCCTGCTACTGCTGCAGCAATTTTGCTGCAGACACATGAAGTACACCAAATGCTACCTTCTTATCCTCTACTGTGATTAAAATATGCCACAAGAAGAATGAGAAACAAAAGTGTTTTCAGTTAGGAAGACAATCCTTAATACAAAGATAAAACAGAAGCCCAAGTACACTGTTTCCATAATGCTCCCACACAAAAATTCAGTTCTAGATAATGCTTTCCTCAGAGGGAGTTTGTTTTGCTGATCGTTCTACTTGTTGCCCAAGACAGAACAAGTGTTCAGCCACAAGCTATTACAATTAGGCCTTGACTATGGGGGTAGAAGAAAATAAAAGGAGGACATATTATAAGAAAGAGTTTCCTTCATGCACACACTCCATGCAGAGCATTAGCTTTTCTGACTGCTCATAGCTAAAGGCAATCTCAGACTTGAGGCTTTTAAAGCAAGCACAGAAAGAGTCTTGCTCTACAAGAGACCTTGACACTTTCTTGCAAGTCTCTTGACAGTCTGGATGCTAAAAGAGAGCACACTTTAATGCCATGGGCTTATTATATCAGAGATGGATACCTTGTATTCATTAATCACTTACTAACTACTTACAAGAAGGGAATCAAAACACTGTATTTCTCTCAAAGATACCCCTCCTCTCAGACAACAGCACTGGTGGCAGAGGGGAGATAAAAAGACTATGCTATATAAACTTCAGACACTCCATCATTATTCCCTTTGTTATATTTTAAGCACTAAGAACCTAAAGACAGGCGACCGCACGTGACATATTCAATCCTAAACCTCCTCACTGGCACAGTTCATTTCACTCACCCAGATGATTCTCTGGGCTGGGTCCCTTGTTCATACCTCACAGCTGTCATTTTGCCCGTGGGTGTTGTTGTCCTGCTGACCTGAAGAGAAGCACACCGAGTTAAAGTGAGACAGTAGAAGAAACAATGAATAGCAGCATCCTGTAGTAGCCTCACCCTCACAGTCCCAGCAGCCAGGCTTCTGCTGCATTTTCAACTATTTCCCCCCTGTGGCTGATAAAGCTCAATCTTTCAGCTGCAACACCGGTGAGTGTCAAGGCACTCTGGTGAAGGCGTTTTGACCACACCAAACATACCACAGCGGTAACAGCATCTTTACCTCACCATGAAGCATTTTCGCCCTGCTTCAAGCTCTGAAGCACAGCGGAGCCCCAGCTGGCACCTCCGGGCGAGCGGCGGGCGCGGAGCGAGCCGCAGGAGCGGGTCCGGGAGCTGCCTCCCGGCACACACCAGCTCCCGGCACGGCAGGCCCGCACCCGGGCCCGCTGCATCCCGCTACCGCGGCCCCCCGGAGCCCTCCCCCCGCCTCACCTCGGCGCGGCCGCCGGGCTCAAAGCGGAGCCTGGACACCGCCCCCGGCGCCCCGCGGACTCAGCGGAAAGTTGGGTTAAACTTCCTGAGAGCTGGATCCCGGCCCTCCCTCCCGCCTCCGGGCGGCGCCGCGCCGCCAGCCCTTCTCACCCACCGAGCTGAGGCGCGGAGTTCGAACACGCCTGACCGCCCCCGGGCTGCGGATGAGGGGCCCGGCGGTGCTGCCCGGCTGCAGCTGGGCCGGGCCGGCCCGCTCCGGGCTGGGCTGGGCGGACTCGCCCGCAGCCATGATAACGGCCCCGCCGCCCCGCGCCGCCCGCACAGGCCGCGGGGCTCCCAGCGCCCCGCAGGGCCTTCGCGGGCCGTGCCGGCCTGGGCCGGAGCGCCCATTGCTGCGGGGTAGGCAGGTCCTGCAGGGGCATCTGGACAGGCTGGAACGGTGGGCTGAGACCCGACAGCGTGAGGCTCAACATGGCCAAATTCCAGGTGCTGCACTTGGGTCACAGCCACCCCAGGCAGCGCTGCAGGCTGCGGGCAGAGGGGCTGGAAAGCTGCCGGGCAGAAAAGGACCTGGGGTGCTGGTCCATAGCGGCTGGACGTGAGCCGGGAGGCTGTGGCCCAGGTGGCCAAGAAGGCCAATGCATCGTGGCCAGCAGGACCAGGGTAGGGAGTTCAGCACTAGTGAAGCCACACATCCGGTAATGTGTCCCATTCTGGGCCTCCAACCCAGCACTGAGGGGCTGGAGTGTGTCCAGAGAAGACAACAGAGGTGGTGATGGGTCTGGAGCACAAGTCCTACAAGGTACAGTTGAGTGCACCCGGGGTCATTTAGCCTCAAGAGGAGGAGCTCAGGGGAGACATCGCTCCCTATCACTGCCTGAAAGGAGGGTGGAGACAGGTGGAGTTCAGCCTCTTCTCCCACATAAATAGGGACAGGACAAGAAGATACAGTCTGAAGCTGGGAAGTTTAGGTTGGACATTATGAAGAAACTCTTCACAGAAGGAGTAATTAGGCATTGGAACAGACTGCCCAGGGAGTTGCTGGGTTCACCATCCCTGGAGGTGTTCAAGGAAAGACTGGACATGGCACCTCCATTGTCTAATTGACATGGGGGTGTTCAGACATAGGTTGGGCTCAGTGGTTGCTGAAGTATTTTCCAAGTATTTTCTAACTGATTCTGTAGCTCTGTGTGGGGCCACACTGCCCCCAGCCCACCAGACCCCAGCCAGCCCACCATCTGCAGCTCCCAGCCTCGCAGTTTTTGTAAACTTTTCTGCTGCTGTGGTTTGATGCCTCTCAATGCCTTTCCCATGGCATGACAGCTTTGAGCGGCTGCACTCGAGGCAGGGCCAGTGCAGGTCGGGCAGGGGCTGCAGGCCAGCCAGTCCCCCACAGCCTGGGGCTGCTCTTGCCATCATCCAGGGCAGAGCATCACAAGGAACACTTGGATTTTCACACAGCATCAAGCACTCAGGGTTTCGCGGAATCGGAGCCTCCAGAATGTGATGGGTTGCCCTGTGCTCTACAGAGGCTTCACGCCTAACTCGTTGCCAACAAGCAGGTGAGGAGCAGTCCCTGGGCATCCCTGGGTACAGTGGTGCTGCTGTTGCTGCTGAGGGCAGGGTTGCCCTGGGGAGGCTTTCTGCAGGACGGCCGACACCAGAGGGAGCCCACAGCGAGCTCTTGGCGGCTGCTCCCTGGGCTGCTGGGGATGGGCAGGAGAGATGCGGTACCTGATGGCCCTGTCAGGATGCTCCCTGCTCAAAAGAAATAAAATCCTTAAGGTGAATGCTGGGAATAGGGAACATTTCTGAGCACTAGACTAAAGAGAAAGTTTTCCCTTCAAACATGTATAAATACATAAATATCTAGTACAGACAGTGGTAGCAAGTAACAGAAGCAGAATCATAAAATATCTGGAGTTGGAAGGATCCACAAGGATCATCAAAGTCCAGCTGCTGTGCCACTCCTGACACTTCAAGAATCCTGAGAGTGTTGTCCACACATTTCTTGAGCTCTGTCAGGCGTAGTGCTGTGACCACTTCCCTGGGGAGCCTGTCCAGTGCCCAACTACCCTCTGGGTGAGAAACCATTTTCCCATATCCAGCCTAGACCTTCTCAGACACCTTCGGATCATTCCCTCAGATCCAGTCACTGGGCATGACAGAAGAGATCAGTGCCTCCCCCTCCCCTTCCCCTCATGAGGAGCCTGTAGATAGCATCGTGGTCTCCCCTCAGTCTCCTCCAGGCTGGACAGACCAAGTGACCTCAGCCACTCCTCATGCAGCTTCCCTTCAAGGCCCTTCACCATACTCATTGCCCTCCTTTGAACACGCTAACATCTTAATGTCTTGTTTATATTGTGGCACCCAAAACTGCCCCCAGCACTCAAGGTGAGGCAGCCCCAGTGCAGAGCAGAGTGGGATAATCCCCCAGTGCAGAGCAGAGTGGGATAATCCCCTCCATGGCCTGGCTGGTGATGCTGTGCGTGGTGCCCCCCAGGACAGGGTTTGCCCTCCTGGCTGCCAGGGCACTGCTGTCTGAGATTCAGCTTCCATCCACCAGGACCCAAGCTCTGCACAGATTCTGAAAACTTGTCTTCATTAAACTTCATGAGGTTGGTGCTAAGTATGTTTGGTCTATTCAGATAATTATGTATTTGGAAGCAGCTAAACAAGGATGGAAACTAAGTTTGATGATGAGAAGAAACATTCAATTAATTTTCTCTTAGTCATAAAAAAAAAATTACATGTGCAGTGTAGGGAAATAAAACAAAGGTAACTTGTAATTGAGAGAACAAAGAGCATTTACTTAGAAAGAGAAGACTATTCAGTCAAGGCAGGAAAGATGTAACAAAAGTTTTTAAAAATGTAACAAGTAGCAGGTGCACAGTAGTTTGTAGAAAGAACTGTTATATAAGCGATTATCTTTGAGAGAAAAGTCTGATGTTGCTATTAGGGACTTGATCATGAATATTACTGGTTAGCAAGCTTGTTAATAATTATACTATTGGCTATCCAGGCTCATGCTATTCTAACTCAGTGGTGAAAATATTATAGAAGTTATGTACACTTTTAATAACACTTATGTACACTTTTAATAAACATCTCTGGTTATACCACGATGGGGGACCGTGTTTCTCTCATGCACTTGCAGTGCAGGTCACTTAGGACAGGCTTGATCCCGTGGACTAGGTAGGGATAATGGGATGAGTTACCCTCAGCAGGAGTGTACACCTGTGGAGCACCTTCACGGTGGCAGTGGTGGGAGGAGGCCCCCATCAGAGAACAGTGTAGAAATACAAAAGTCCAGTTTCCCCTCTCCTGGGCTCTGGAAGCACCCAGGTGTGAGGACAGTTTAGGTATTGAAGTGGACTTCTCGCCAGAAAACCTGTAAAAACCAAAGGAGGGGCTGGAGGTGGGAGGCTTCCAGTTTGGAACCCAGGTTGAATTCTAGGGCTGGCCAGCTGAAGGTGCACTTTAAAAGGAAGAACAGCTCTTCCCAGTTTTCATCACATAGATAGAGGCTGCATTGCCAGTGATACTGAGTTTCATGTGTTTCTTGAGTATCCTGGTGGTTAATCTATTTTCTTAAGACTCTAACTTCTTTAGATGACTAAAATAAAAATACCACCTTTTTACTAATAAAATTAAATTTCTATCTCTCAGCTGGTAGAGAAAAGCATAGGAACAAGATCCAACGTCCATAAAGCCAAAATAAAAAGGAAACATTGAAAGTGTTGGTTTTTAAATTTGAGACTTGTAAATATTTTTCATTATTTTTTGCTGGTTAAGTCATGATACTGATATTTAATAAGCCTTGAGAATCCAGTTCTGATCCTCTGACAATTCTTCATCAGTGTAAAATAGCTGAATTGTCAAAAATGCAAAAAAAAAATTAAATATTTAGTAAATAATCCAGCTACACACTGGCTAAAGAGCAGGATTAAGTAAGTATTTCTCAGAGGGGTGATGACATACTTTGCATTCCAAAAATAACAGAGAAGGTGGTAAACAGAATCTCTTAACTTGACAGATTTTAAATTGGTAAGGTATTGCACTTCTATATCTGATTCTTTTAAGACAGACAAGAAAAATAATTACATTTTTATTAAGTTTTGAGATAGCAGAAGTATGAAGATAAGTGGGTAAAAAATGAATTCTCTGCCAATATTAAAAACAGGTAGACCAAATGACCTGATGGTGATAGCTTTTCATCTTGGCTCTGCTCCCTGAGAAGTGAGAGCAGATTAGGCAGAGGGTTTAGACTAATAAAATATTAAAGAAGCTTAATAGTAGAAGCAATAGTAATAATATTAATAATAATTGTGAATCAACGTGCGATTAGGGAAAATAATTGTGTCAAATATATTTCTAAAACAAGACTGCAGGTTTTACTGCTAAAACAAAAGTATTTTGATGCTTCTGTAAGCAACTGACTGGCTAGAAAATAACTTTGAATAAAAAGGTTCGATCAACCCATTTCACATTGATGTAAGTGCAGCACACTAGTCTTAAAATAACTAAAAGATAAACCATCCTTAAGCAATTATTTTCCTGAGAGATTCTGCAGGGATTGGGTGTTGTCTTGCACTGTTTAATGTTGCATTGTTTTGTTTTAAAACATGACCTGGATAAGATCCTGAGTGATGAAGTTTGCAGCTGACACAGAAGTTGTAACTGTGGTCAGATAGAATAAGCACTGCCTGGCACTGAGTAAATTGTGACTTACATCCACTGTAAATCTCAGAACACAAGACCTCAGGGTAATGTTTGGTACCCTCGGTACCTGAAGAACAATCAACATGTGTTAAAAACATTCTAGGTCTGCTTACAGTCCCTCTAACTCCCAGCAAGGCCCCTGCCACCTGCATGGCCTGTGTATGCACAAGTCAAAAAGCTGGCAGGCATTTCTGGACTAACTTCTCAGGTGTTGTGAATCACAGTCATCCTGACTGCACTGGGTAACACCATGCAGGTCAGGCTTGGAGCATCAGTGACAGAAGAAATCAGGTAACACTGAAAGGTCCTGAAGCAAGAGCAGGGATTAGCCAGTGACAAATGATTGTGGCATGTAGCTCTGTGACAAAAGGAGTGAGATCCTTGGATCCACAAACAGGAAAGATTTTGGAAAGGTTGCCTGAGTTCTTTATATGGCTCTTCGTGTGAGTGACTTAATCACAGTCAGACAGGGCTGGATCTGGAAAAAGGATAAGGTGCCCCAGAAGGGGTGTAAACAGACACACAGTCAACATTTACGACTACAAAGGTGTTTGTTCAGCAGTTGCCTAACCTTTGAGGCAGTTAAATTGATGTGGCACTTCTCTCTTGTGCTGCAGAGATCCCTCCAGAACCTGCAGTTCTGCTTCTGTCCTGACCACATATCTCTGCTGCTTATCCTAGGGCAGATCAGTCTCCCAAATCTAGGCAGAGATTGCAGTTTCTGGAGCCCCCTCAACGTGCCCAGTGAGACCACCTCCACCACACCCTGTCATACACCACCCACAGCTCTTCTCACCTCTATGTACTTGTTCTACATTAAACTGCCCTGAATGAAATCTCTCCAGGAGCAGAACTTGTCCCCGCCTTTCCATGCCAGCCATGTGCCCTGCTCACAAGTAAAGTGTGACGTGCTTGTGCCATGTTCCTCAGCCCTGCCTAGGAAAAGCTCCAAGCAGCCCCTCACTCATGACCCTGCTGAGTTTCCTGCACATGCACCCTCAGCCAAAGCAGATAATGGGGTTTGGATTCCCAGCCAGGAGCAAGCACACAGCTTCTGTGATTGGATCTAGCCTTTAACAAGGAAAAAATGTATTTGGCAGCAGAGGGCTTCACCTTCTCAGAGTAAGGCATCATGGAATTATAAGGCTGCAGGATGAGACTTGGAAGATTCACACTCAGGGGGAAAAAAATAAAAGCACAGTGCAAGTAATTAAAAAGTGGGAGAACATGCTAAGGTTTGTGGCTGGTTCTTCTGCACTAAATATTTCACAGCAAAATGTGTTTTACTCAAAGGCATGTTCCAGTCCAAATGGAAGTGAATTAGGTCAGGAAAGTTCTCTGACCTGAAGTAGATAGAAGATCATGGAATACACATACTCTCTCTAGTCTTGTGATTAATTCCCTTTGGTACGGCTATTCCTGACATGGGATTGCTGGGACCTGTGCTTGCCCTCAGGAACTTACAAAATAATTACATTTGTTGTGTCAACCCATTAGATACTCATAGGCTGCATGCAGACTCATTAGTTAAACTGAATTATGTATTTGCTCTTTGAACATTATCAAAATATTCAGATCTGGCATGTTTCATGGTCTGCCACCACTGCTGCTGCTTTGTACACAGATTTCTGTGGTTACTCCTGGCTTACCAACCACAGACTTTTCATGCGCAAATGCCGGTTTCAGTTATTTCACAGGTTGAAACTATGGTGGCTGATGTCATCCTGGTCTTTTAATTTCATCTTACTTTTGATGAAACCCTTTATTGTTAGATTAAAAAAACAATAAATATTTGTTTCAGATCTCATGTATTAACTTTGTTTTAAAAAAGCTGGCAGCCCAGATTCCTGCAGAGGATATAGCTCAAACATCAAGGGCCTGCAGCCCCTGGTAGGTACCTCCACACCTGCAGTGCCTGCAAAGGAGCCTGGTCTGCAGTCTCTCCCAGTGAGCAGGTTGTTCATGGAGGGCGGGATGTGATAGGAAAGTATAAAAATAAAGCAAATGCATAGAGCACTTGGATTCTCTGCAAGTAATCTGTTTGTCTTTGAGCTGGATCCAGACTATCCTGTATTTTCCTAGAACACAGGTAGGCAATCAGACTCTTGCTGTGAAATCCTTAGGTCTCTCTATCTCCTTTGGAGCCTGGAGCAGTCTGCCTCATTTCTTGCCTTTCCCCTTTAAGAAGAAGCAACCCACAAGAAACTGGTCTTGGGAGAGTTTTGAGATGTCACTACTGTCTTCCAGCTGCAGTGATGTTCCTTTAGGCTCTGAAGGTGTTAATATCCATCAAGTGTCATGTTCCTGTGTTCATTCCAAGCCACTTTCCCCCATTACTGTAGGAATATCAAGAGCTACCCCAGAGTCATGCTCTTCAGTCACCTTTATCAACCAGTTTATGTGTGCTGGTATTGCATTTAATGTGTGAATAATAGTTTTTTCAGCACCTACATACTTTTGCTGTAAGGAAGGTAGAGGACAGCAGGGTAGGAGGATTTTTAGTTAATGAGACTATTATTTTTTGCTGACAAGATTGAGTATCTTAAGAAAAAGGAATCTGATCTCCTTCCAAGTAACTAAACAGGAATTTGCATTCCAGAATATTTGTGAAGCATGTGTATTCCAGGAAAAAAAAAATCCAGCATTTATTGTCACATTGCCTAGGGATTTCAACATCTGTGTGGAAACATTGGTGATCATACAGTGTCCATTCTTTATGATGACTTGATTATTTTAGCTCTGAGCCAGTGGAGCAGTATCTGAAGATAATCTCCTGCTAGACCCCCCTTATGTGAACTCAACCTCATGGCAACCCTTCTCTTGTGTTTCAGATATTCCTAAAGCTTTCTCTAGCTTGGGAAAATAAGTTAATCATGAAACAGGTATGCAAGAAGCATGTTCCAGCTGAGTGGGATTTTCACATGCAGATGTTGCTGAAGCAAGCATTGGTGGAGGCCTAGAGGCAGCATGAGAGTGCTCCAGATGTCTTGGCTCTGAGAGATGTTTTGGCAGCCACTGAACGAGGGTTGGAGATTGATTCCTGTTCCTGCAAAACTGCAGTGACAGAGCACACGTGAGTTTCACTGGCTCTGCAGTTTCACTGCTCCCTTCTGCCCTGGGACAGCACAATTTAATGCTATGAGGCCTGATGCTTCCTAATCATATGGCCCTGCACACAGCTGCAGGCACTGACTGTGCCAGCCACACCACGACTCCAACACTGACCCCACAGCCTCAGCCCTGTCTCTGATCCCACTGGGATCAGGAGATGCTCACAGGCCAATGAGATTTTTGGCCACCTTTCAGGCAAGAGCATAAATTGTTGCACAGCACGTTGAGCACTGTTGGATGGGTCCAGCTGAGAAAGAGTTGCTGCTGCTGGTGAAAGCCCCAGGGGATGATGTGCAGCCTGCCTGTGCTCCAATGCATGGTACCTGCACACCCTGCTGCCAGCTGCAGTTCCTGGCCAAAGGGGCAAAAAAAGGGCCAAGTACCTACTAGGGAGAAGAGGAAACATTTCACTCACTTAGTTTCATAGCTGTCAAAACTAGTCTTAAACTGGGGCTAGAAAACAAGTGAGAAGAAAAGCATTGCTTACATAATCCTTTGGCAGTGGAATGAATCAGGGTTCTTGTGGGAGAAGAGGAATGCAGTTTTAAAGGAACAAACAGCATTCCTGTAGCTGGTAGTAGCTGGATAGTCCTGCTTTCCTGAAGAGCAGCACAGACATTTACCGTGGGTTTATGTGCCTTGTCTTTTGTGCCCATGGTCTCTCCTCTGCACAAAGCTTGATAAAATGGAACATTCCTGCTGTTTTCTTTAAAATAATCTGTAATTCCTTGGCCATAATACAAAGGGAGGCACCCATCTGTTTGGTTTTGTGTTTTTTTTCTCTTTTCCACAAATGTCCTTGTTTGTGTTAACTAGCAAATCTAATCATCCAGCTCACAGGAGAGTTACACAACCCTCCTGAGATTTTGCTCTAACAGCAAGTCTTGCTTAATACTCCCACACTTGCTTCTTGCTTCAGATTTGCAGATTCTTTGGCATTACAGCTGTGCTCTTATAAAACAGATTAAACAGCAAATGGAATGCTGAACGGAAAAGCTGTGTTATTTCCACCTTGCAGGACTTACTGAAATGATCCTGGCTGGGTTAAAACATGAGCCGAAACTCCCACAGGGAGCATTAGTCTGAGTGATTCGCATAAACACTCAAAGTCAGTCTTGGTTGAGCTTCCTAGTCAAGGTAGGTAATAGTACACAAGCAGCAGAGCCCCTCTCCTTTAGAGAACACTGTTGATAGAAACCTCCTGTTGTTTATTTTCACTGGGAAGCAGCAAGATGAATACTGGGTAACAACAGAAAACTTGGGGTTTGAGTAACTCTTTCACACTAGGAATTGGGAGTACCTTTTCTGTGAAACTGCCTAGTGCTGTGAAACATTCTTCCTCTGTGCCCTTGATGTAGGTCATCTGGAGAGGAAAATTTCATCAACCTCTTAAAATGCAGCCACGTTTATGATCACTTTCTTTTGCAGTTGACTTTTAACGGAGATAATCTTTCCAGAAGGAGGTCTGAAGAAAGGCAAGTTACAGGTATGTGCATTTCATGTGTCTTGGTAAAGGTGTAGATGGAGTTGCTTTCTTTCTCTCTGCTCTGCACTGTCTGGTTTTCAGGACCTGTCACTCATCCCACACTTCCTGGTAGCTTTTTGCCATCACCCATGGGCACTGCGTGGAATCTAAATCTGACCCCAGCACCAGTGCTGCAGCCACTGGCACCACGGTGCGGTGGTGTGAACAGCACCAGCGCTCCTGGGCTCGCAGGGCTCCCCTGCTGCAATGCTGAACTCTTCTCTCTATCAGCTGAAAAATTGCCACAGCCTGGAGCATCTACCTGCATGTCATCTTTTATGTGCAGCTTCTGTGGAGATCTTCCCTCAGCTTGCTTTGAGCCCTGCCTGCCCATCCTGGCAGGGGGTTCCTCTGTTGCAGCAGCTTTGGTGGCTTGGAAGCAGCTCTAGCATCAGCTGCTGCAGGGATGCTGATAGAGCCATAGCTAAAACAAAGCACATCACTCAAAGCACAGAGCTGGGGAGCCAAGTTTCTGCAGCACTTCCAGATGTGAAGCAGGGGAGTTTGGTTTAGCCTAGTTTTCAGATTTTTTTTTTTATTTCTGATTTTGTTGGTTTTTTTTTTAAAGCACGATGCAAGCATACTGAGAACAATTTGTACTGTTCACTCACATTCAGCTGCATGTTCCCAGTGGCAGTCACTTAGCATATTTTCTAGCTAAGACTCTCCAGTCAAAACCACATCTGTGTGTTGGAGCAGATTGGCAGTAGACATCTTTTCCCCTGAAATCCAAGGAAAAACTATCTCATGTCCAGTTTGTCACATGTATGACTTGGCCTCCAAGGTAATCCCATCCTCACAGACCACTCCAAGGATGAGGAGGAGAATGTCTACAGTCACTTAACCAGGAGGAAAATTCCTCTTAATTCCACTTTGAGAAGTTTGAACTGAATAAACTCTGTGGGATTTTGATGAAAAGTCCTCATGGAGACATGATTGCTGAGCAGCTTCCTGTGTGGATACCTGGGAGGAGATACAGAGGCTGCTGGAAAGTCACACAGAGTATTTATTTCTGTGGGGAATCAGGAGCAGACCTGAGCCTTTATCCCTGCCAGCATACTGCGCTGGTGCTTTAACTTCTCTTTAATATACATCTTATCCTGATTTTGTCCTGCCTGTAGTTTCAAGCAACCTCCTTAACAAATCCTGCAGCATCTCCTGGGGAATTAAACATAAGTGTGAGGGGGGATTGAGTTCTGAGAGCAACTGAAAAAACTTCCATTACAGCTTGTCAATGCCTCTTTTCAGGTGATAAGAAATGAGTGTGATGATGCACTGGCTGCTGCTGCTCCTTCTCCTGGTCAGCTTTGCCTCACCTGCACCCAGGTTCTCGGTGTGTATCTTTTAGCCATGTCTGTACAACTCTCTCAATGGTTCACCATTCTCAGTCAAGCAGAGATGGATACTCCCCCACAGGAGGGATGGGGAGCTGCAAAAGCAGAGCAAAAAAGCATCTGCCTGCAGCTAAAGGAATGTCATCCTGATAATACAGGATTTTTACAGCGTCGAGGGCTGTACAGCTGTCTGGGAGACTGAACTGTCATTATTAAGAATTCAAAACAACAACAAAAACAACAACAAAAATATATATATTTTTTAAATGTATTTTAATAGCCAAAATATCAGCTCTTTTTCAGTTTTACACAAAGCTAATTCTGGAACCTTGCTGGTTTCGCCCATCTGCAGCACAAGAGCCAAGTTTTCCCTCTCTTATCAACCTGAGCACTTTCATAGTTTGCAAACCTTCCCCTTGAGCTCATCAAGTGGGGTCAAGACAAATTATTTTCGTCCAAAGTAAATTTTTTGTGCATCTGACCGTATTCTGGCATGCTCTGATCAATGCCAAGGTTGTTGCAGAAATCTCTTTTCCACTGGATTGAATTCAACAGCTCATGCTGTGCAAGATTTGGACATCTTAGGAAGAGATCACCATGAAATCATGTTCATCCACATAGGCAGTGTGACATGCTAGGGTCAAGAGGAGATGGGTACTCCTTTCTCTGTGTCTCTCCTTACCACTGATTGAAATGTGGGGGGTTTTGTTTTATTTTCTCCATAGGACAAAGATATCTGCCTTCTAGACAACAATAAATTAAGACAAAGGTTAGAACATCTTCAAGACTTGCTTTACTTATATGAATTGCAGCTGAAGGACATACTGGAGAACACTTACCACAGAACGAAAAGTGAACTGTTCTCAGGCAACAGGAGCATGCAGCATGAGACACTTTTACCCACAACCAGTGGGAATTTGATTGTGTATGACCAAGGTACAGTTTGCAGTAGTGTTCCACAATGTTTATTTCTCCCTGCAGTGTCCTATATGTCATATTTTATGTCTGCTAAAAGTTTAATTTTTTTTAAGTGGATTGTGATTTAAAATACAGATACGTGGGAAGAAGAGCTGACTGGTTGCCCTGACACTAAAATATATCCCTTGGGGCTAGAGCCACTTATCCCAGCTGTTGGCAGCTATTATCCAGGTACAAAATGGACATCTTCAGCTGGGCTTCTTACCTGCAGAGAGGAACAGTCATCTCTCATGTTTTCCATCAGATTTACTTTAGGCAACTGCTTTAGGAAGAGATGGGTCCTGCTCTTAAAGAGCCCATCTTCCCTGGGTGACTTAGGGGAGCCCAGAGTGCCTGGCTCAGCTGCAGGCACGGTGACCTATTTGGATGAGCCAAGCCTCCCTGTTCCTCAGCTCCCCCATTATTTCTGTGCACAGGAACAGGCATGCATACTTTGTTTCTTGGTGTTACTTTGAGAACATGGTCATAAATGACATAGTTTCCTGTGGCCAAGATTTTAGCCTTTGGGCATTACATTGAAAGAATGAAGCACTGAGATCCTGAAAGGCTCTCTCCTGATACAGTCCTGGTAGAACTGAACACAGAAACTTAGCCTATTATTTTAGAAATATTTTGCCTGATCTTATCAGAAGTACAGCTGAGGGTACCTTACCTTCCACATGGAAGTTACCTTCCCTGCAAATGATCTCTCTGACAGATGAAGTTTCAGTCCCAGGCTTTCAGGATATAGACCCAGGCTAAGCTGCAGCTGTCCTGCATCTCACCAAGGATTTGGGCATTATTCCATCAGAGAGCATGGCTGTAAAGGCTCTCAAGCCTTAAAGCTCTTAGTCAGGCTGTCAGTTTGCAAACTGCTGTAGCTACTGGTGTAGCTACTACCATTTCCTTTGACTTTACAGGGCTTGCAGAGATATGCACAGACTGGCCAAGTGTCCTTGTCCCATGCAGCTTCTCAGTGACATCTTCTCTTGGTGGCACATAGCCCTTGGCTTTGCCCCTGGCCCATTTAACAAACTGATACCGTTCTGCCCAGATTGCTCTGCAGTGTATGGCCGGAAGAGCACCACAAGTGGCTACTACCGGATCCGGCCCCGAGCAGAGCGAGAGCCCTTCCTGGCATTCTGTGACATGTCTGATGGCGGGGGCTGGACTGTCATTCAGCGGCGCAGTAACGGCAAGGAGAACTTCAACAGGTGGGTGCATTGTTCTTGCATTCTTGGCCTGACAGGGCTTGCAGTCAGGCCACCAGCTCCTACCCCTGTCCTGCTGCCAGGCAAACCCCCACCCTTGAGAAGCAGGATATGCAAGACTATATATTAGTGATGATAATTTAGGATTAGGACAACCTGGTGGTACCTGTTGGCAGCAGGGGGCCATTTTCAAAATGGATCTGTAACTTCTTTTCCATGGGTTCTCTGCTTTTGAATGCATATTTTATCATTATTGAAGACTGTCAAAGGCTCCAGATTGGCAGGTGTCTGCTACCAGTGCACAGACTGAGACCTGTTAAACAGATCTGTTCTGATGTGAGGAATTATGTTCAGCATGTTGTAACATTTATTATCGTATTCAGATAATTTTTAAAAATGCCAAACCAGATTGTCCTTTTCCTATGCAAAATCCCAGAGACATGACTTTCACACTGAAATTTACAGGAGGAGAGATCCTCTGGTAGCACAGTTCAGAAGAAATGTCCCCATGAAGGTTAATTCACTATCACAGCACACGCAATTTCAGGGAATATTAATGCCTTCTAAAGTCTATGCTTTAAGTTACTTCTAAGGTCTATGCTTTAAGTTAAAGTCAAAGTAACTACAAGTGACTCTAAGCCAGCTTACCCAGAGAGTGGTAGCTATCCAGCCATGGTAGTTCAGATGAAATAAAAACATCCTGAAGAGGAGCATTGACTAGTGTGAAGGTCAGGCAGAACGAATATCATAATAACAACATGAGAGAAGGAATAAACATAGGGTTACTAAAACTCAAAATGATGACACACACTGAAGTATATGAGAATATCAAAGGTAATACATAGATCAGGTTAATTATGACTTGCTGAAGAACAATATCAGGTGTTTTGCTGAAGACCAATATGACAGCTGCTGCTTTCCCTTTGTATTTTACTGGAAACATCAGTCTGTGAGCAGTGCATCTAGCAGATTGAAGGTTTGATCCCCATATATGTGTGTGCACAGGTTTAGCAGGGGAAAACTTTGAAAGCTCTGAGTTGTATTTACTCATAGATGAATCAGATACTTTTAGAAAACAGTATCTAGATACAGGTGAAGTTTTACTTGTTACCATACTCAAGTGTTACAAATTGTCTAATTCCCTCTCATGATGAAATTTATATCTATAAATTTTTCTTTGCAGGAAATGGGATGATTACAAACTGGGATTTGGGAAATTCCAGGGCAAGAATGATGAATACTGGCTGGGCAATGACCACATCCATGACCTGCTTGCTACAGGTCCAAGTATTTTTTTCTCCATAGATTTCTTTCTAATGCACATTAGGTATTCATCTAACATGACACAACTTCATGTTTAGGAGAGAACTCATTAAAGATTGACCTGATGGACTGGCATGGGGAAAGACGTTATGCAATCTATGAAAATTTCCAGCTTGCAAATGAGCAGGTAAGAAATGGAGAGAGCAGTGATTTTCTCCCTTTGGTCTGTGAGGGTGGGGCAGCTGCATACCAAGCACCACACCAGTATCAGGGTTGTATCTACAGCTCTGCAAAACTTACCTGCTCTGGTTTCCTGGGCTTCCTAGTTTGTCTGACTGACAAAGAGCCCTGGGATCAGGGACATAAACCTGGGACTTTTTCCTTACAACAGAGTGTCCAGGTCAGTGACAGGACCACGTGTTTGTGCCCTCTTGCTAACTGTGCTGTTGAGCAGAGGGCGGTTTGCTGCCACAGGGCACAGGGATTCCCACATGTATTTGCCTCTGGCCTCATGATTAAAAGTGAGTGAGAAGATCCTTAGGGTTTGAACCTCTGCAACTAAATGGAAACCTGGTTCTCCTGCTTTCTAAGAGATTGTTTCAGACTGTCACACAAAAGGCAAGTGTCAGAGCAAATCCTCTCAACTTTGTTTTAAAATAAAACAGAGCTCTTCAAAGCTTTGAAAGAGCAGTTGTGAGTTCCTATGTTGAAGAGAGGTAGCTGTAGCACTGTACCTACTGCTACAGACACAGAAAGCCCAGAGACAGACACATCCTGTATTTTCATGCTGTGCTTTCTAGCTGTAGACAGTGTCCAGCTCCACAGAGGTGCAGTTCTTCGCAGACTTGTCTTCCTGAACACCACATGTAACTAGCCCAAATAACCAAGGATACCACATGGACCAGTCCTAGTTCCAACTCCATTGCTGCTCCAGAAATGTGAACATGACACTCAGTTTGCAATTAGAGGTTTCTTACGAAAAGTTTGAACAGCTGCATTTCAATACCTTACTGCCATTTTTCATAAAGAAATGAGGCAAATGATGACAGAAGAAAGCCCACAACACAAATGTGAACATCCACTTAATGCCAAATATCTCTTCGACCTGTTAGTTGTGCACAATGGAACTATTATTCTAAACACTCCTACCAGGACCAGATCATAGAAATCAGATGGCTTCTAGTGCTTGGAAGAGCAAAATGCCTAAGCATTTATTCTAGCTGAAGAATGATCTGTTTATGAACACGATAACTTGACACTTGGCAGTTTCCTGCTACGTTGTTCTTGATCAGCTAGAAAGAGCTTTCCATCTTGCTGTAAAGTGTATTAAATGGTTGTTGAATGGCAATAAACCTGGAGCCTTTTGTAGCAGCAGCAGTAATTACCAATCCCCTCTGGAAGTTTAAATCCTACATTAATCTACACTAGGATCATTAAAGCATCGAGACAAAAGTCACCCTTGACTTCAACAGTCATGCCTTTGACAGTGGATGAAATGTCCAGAGCTAATTTGGCTTTAAAACTGTGAGGAAAGGCAGAAATGTTTCACTCACATTTGATTGGCTTTAAAACTGTGAGGAAAGGCAGAAAGAATGGATATCAAATAAATGTTTCACATATTCTTGCAGGAAAATTACAGGATATGGTTTGGCACCTATTCTGGTAATGCTGGCGACGCTCTGTCTGGTGGGAGCAATTTTGAAGATCAGTGGTCAGCTTCTCACAGAGGGATGCAGTTCACCACATTTGATAAGGATCACGATCAATTTCTGGCTGGCAACTGTGCATCAGAGAACAAGGGTGGCTGGTGGTTTAACAGGTATGGAAAACAGCTGATTCCTCTTGGATGTGTGGGTTGTGGGTGGCTGCACAGCTGGGAGGACTTGCCTGCCTTAGAGCAGCTGGAGGTTGCTGTGTGCACTTGCCACCTCGCACAGCCAAACCTAAGATGTCCAGACCTACAGATCCTTAAAGGAAAACAATTTACTACTTTTATTATAGCAAATCAGGTAAGTTGAAGTGACTTTAAGAAAATGGTTCAGAACAAATGCACAGGGGACAATGAACTGGAAGGCAGAGAGCTCAGTTAAAATTCCTAAAAGTGGTTTGTGTTGTACTCCAGTGAAGGAAACAACTGTAGCCATGGTAAGCTGAAGTGTATACAAAGGACATTTCCCTAGAATGGAGCATGTCCAAGGGCAGAGCTACCCCATAAGTTAGGAGGGTATAACTGCTGTTTGGGCATATGCCACACATCAATGGATAAGGATTCATGTTTAACAGCCCTGGAACCCAGGATGTAACACTCTCAGATTTTCTTTGCTTTGGTGCAAGATGAGACCAGATTCTCATCACATACCAACTGAAATCTGTGGAGCTGTACAAAACTGTACATCAATAGCAGGATTTACCTCAATCAAAAGACATCTGCATTTTTAGGTGTCAATCTGGAGCTGCCTACACTTGAGCTAGAGCATACCAAATGGCACCATACCCCTTTGTTCAGGCCATGCAGTTCTAATGCCTGTAGTTAATACATCTGAAGGAGTCAACAGGCAGAATTATCTGAGCAGTGTAGGTGTCTGCTTTAGGATGACCCACAGATTCCTGTGCTCCACTAAAAGCATTAACCATTTAGTCCATCCCACCCTGATATATCTATATATATGTTGTGTGAGAATGGTACTTCACTGCAGTGATGCAATATCTTCTCATGCTAAACAGAATTCCCTCTTTGTCTTTCCTACATTGTTCCAAGGTGCCATGCTGTAAACCTCAATGGGCAATACTACAAAAGAGGGAGGTACAGTGGACCCCATGATGACGGCTTGGTTTGGTCTACATGGCACGGGATGTGGTACTCACTGAAATATTCAGCCATGAAAATCAGGGCTCCATTCTTTATCGACAGAGAGAGCGGAGATGGTGAGAACAGTCAGGGCAGCTGAAACCTGCTGCTTTGGAAAGAGAACAAGCACAGGCTGAAAAGAATGGTGTAAGTTGATAGCCAGTGCTCTGCTGCTGCCAATTGCCAAACCTGCACTTGATAGCTGGAGTTGCACCTGCTTCTGCTACCTGAAGCTAACAGCACGAGTTGTTTGAGCACAGCCAGAAAATTTAATAAAAAACATATGGATCACAGTCACAGGATAATGAGATTTCTTTCTCAGCAGTTTTCAAGACTTTGTTGAAGATTTGGAAGTTCTCTGGACTTAGAAAGATCAAGCATGTCCTTTAATCAATCTATACTTTTTAAGGTCTAAATCTTTCTCATCTTGATTTTAACCATCAGTGTTTCAGTTATGAGAACATCAGGATAGAAAGAACAAGGGGACGGGGAATTGTGCTACATCTGGTGTGCCTTTGTTAGTGCTTTGCTCTGCATCAGGAGAATGTTTTTAAGCAACTTTCTCTATGGTTCTAATTGCCACACTTCAGTTGCAGAGTGCTCCTGGAGTGTGTGAAACCAAACCTGTGGATGAACATGCTCCAACTGCTAGTCTGCATCCAGACTAAGGCTGCTTCAAAGTAAACACCTGCAAAATGGACAGTGTGAATTCCATTCCAATAGCTTCCCACTGCAGATCCACTGCTAGAGTACAGCACAAGACTTTAATGCAGACAAAGACAATCCTGCCAACCAGATTTAAACCCCAGATTAAAATTATGCAGATTTTACTAAAATTAAGGTGAATGCAGATATTCCTAGGAGTTCCTAAAATGCAGTCACAATTCATATATTCTCCTGTAATTTACCAGATGATTTTGCATTAATGAAGGGGAATCAGAAAGTGGTTGAACCACAAGGCACACTGCTTTCATTGTCTCACTGGGGTGGAATGAAAGAGCAACACAAATGAAAGAAATGGAATACTGAAAATTTATTTTCTACAGCTGTTAATAACAGTTAAAAATGAACAGCAGTATCAGCTTGATGCAAATAATTTAACTACCATGCTGTAGAATAAACCTGTTTCCCTTGTTTCTGATTTATAATTTTTAAACTGGTGTTTATTTTCCATTTATTTGCTTTTATATCCATACATACTGTAATTTGTATACATATCGATAAAGAGTGAAATAAAACCATCTGAGTAGGACTTAATACATTTTATTAATATTAAAACCATCTGAGCAGGACTTAATACGTTTCAACAATAGGAATGTGAACAGTAATCTGGATCAAAATCTTGGAAAGCTCATAATATGAGAAATGTATTCTTTCAGTGTTGGCTCTGGTGCTTTTTCATCTGTTGTCCTGGATAGTTGAAAGGGTCTGCAAGGTAAGTTTAATTTTCACAGCTCAAGCTATCCTGGAGACAGTGCAGAGGCATGAGGTGAAGGTTCTGTTTAAAACTTGGTTTGGTTCCTCTGCTTCCTAGACATCCCAGTGACTGCAAGCATGAACATCCCAGGGTAATGGGCAGCACTCCAGGGAGCTGTGCTCCTAGAGCCTCTGCCCTTGGCTAGACTGCCCCCAGCCCTCTTCTCAAGCATACTCATGTGGAGTGAAATTTTCACCAACATGTCTGAAATGAGACATCTTGCCCTTGTGAAGAAAGGGCTGCAAAAAGGCAGCACTTACTCTTTCCCTTCTGATCACTGCTCCTGTATTTTTAAATGGTAAAATCTCAGTGCAAGATTGTAACTGCATGTTGGGACATAAGGAATGACTTTGCACACATTGTAACTGCGTGGCCCCTGAGGAGCACTGAGGGCTGAAAGGATTTCACTCACATTTATCTGTGTCATCAAAACAAAAAAAATTTTGTTTTGATGACACAGAGAAATGTGAGTGAAATAAGTTCATGCCTTCTGGCAGTTGAAGCTCAATCCTATCCTTCAGTAGAGAGCTAAGGAAGTTAGAGCAAAGACTGTGGAAACTACAGCAATGACACAGAGAAATGTGAGTGAAATAAGTTCATGCCTTCTGGCAGTTGAAGCTCAATCCCATCCTTCAGTAGAGAGCTAAGGAAGTAGACCAAAGACCGTGGAAACTACAGCGCTTAGGGGACAGCATTGTGGTTTGGCAGTTCATTAAGCAGCTGGTAACCCATCTGATAATGGATTATCAAGCTGGAGATGAAGTCAGCAGGGCTTAATCAGACAACCAGCACCCAGTCCACTTCCCCAGTGAGTGAGCAATGAGCAATGTAAAGTCCAGACTATGGAGCCTGTTTCCCCCTGTGTCAGTGTGGAGGGGAAGGCATTAGAGCTGGATTGCCTTCAGCCAGCATCAATGTCAGGGCATTTCTCCTGTCTCTGAGAGATGAAGGAAGGCCAAGGTATCACAAGCTGGGAGGGAAGGGGTTTGCCCTGCTGTCTGTGGTGTAAAACTTATGTTAAGTACATCTAATGCATAACACAGCCTAACACCAGGACAACTTCGCAGAAAGCACCACTGATTAAGAGCAATGTTGCCCCTTCTCTGTCCTCCTGTGACAAAGGAAAGCTCCTCTGAGATGCAAGGGTAACAGGGCTTTGTGCAGGCACCTGCAAATCCCACAGCAAACCTCAGGAAGCATTTCAGAACCACCTTTAATCTTAATAAACAGGGTAGAATGCCACTAGCTGAGTATTACTGGATCTGAGGGCTACGCCAAGCTCCAATCCCTCCCGCTGAAGGTTTAGGGGAATGCTTGCTGAATGCTGCTGCACTGCACATTTGATCTCCCACAGGGTCTCTCTCCCATGCTGAGAGGCTCAACAAAGCTTAAACAGATACTGTAGCCCTGCAGCTCCAATGATGATGGATTGCTGCTTCAGGGAGAAGGTACTTCACACCACAGACCTTACCTTAGTACAGGCAGGGTAAGTAACCCGAGCTGCAATTGTTTCAGAGGTCTGCTTTCCAGCTCATTTAAGTCAATTTAAAGACTCATTACGTTTTATTGCCTTTGGATAACTCTGCAAGTGAGAACATGTTCTTAGATGCTTTAAACAGCTTTTCAAGCTGACAGTTTATGGGAATGCATCACTAGTACCAACACCACGAAGGGCCAAGGGCTGAACATCGGCATCTTCACATGGCTCCGGGGAAAGAGGGAGCTCACATCACCCAGTGAGTGGGATCCCTCACTCCAGCAGCTGCTGCAAAGCATTACCCATCAGAAAGGCCATTCAAACAACCAGATTTGACTCTGGTAGCCAAATGCTGAGTCTTACTCCTCCTATGTTGTCACAGCAGGTAACACTGTGTGCCTGTCAAGCTACCTGTGCCAGCTTTGGACACTGCAGTGGGGTGCCATTGCTTACACACAGCAATGCTGCTCTTCCTTGCTGTTGGTTTGTGGGGGAGCAGGGCTGGGGGGAAGAAGTGTGGGATTGGGAATCTCTCTCTGCTCAGAAAGCCAGTTTTGAGAAAGACAGCAGCCTCCTTCATGACAATGGAGCACATGCTAATTTTCTTTCACACCCACAGGCAGGTAAAAGGGCATGAAGGGTTAGGCTCCTTAGGGGAGAGTTGATTTCAGTCTAATAGTCCACTGCCTAAACCTTTCCTTTCTTACACCAACCTCCATGGGCAGCACCTCCTCTTTTCTTGTCTCTGCCCACTAGCATTCCCCTGGTCTTTGCAAAGTCTCCAAAGAGATGGTTATCCTAACAAATGGCAAGGAAAGTCTTGGTCATTCACAAGGCCTGAGCTCTGCTTCTGCTGTTAACTGGAGTTCCAACCCAACTCTGAATACTTACAGCAGAATCTAATGTCAAATTTGCAGCCTCCTTCATGACAATGGAGCACATGCTAATTTTCTTTCACACCCACAAGGCAGGTTAAAGGGCATGAAGGGTTAGGCTTCTTAGGGGAGAGTTGATTTCAGTCTAATAATCCACTGCCTAAACCTTTCCTTTCTTACACCAACCTCCATGGGCAGCACCTCCTCTTTTCTTGTCTCTGCCCACTAGCATTCCCCTGGTCTTTGCAAAGTCTCCAAAGAGATGGTTATCCTAACAAATGGCAAGGAAAGTCTTGGTCATTCACATGCCTGAGCTCTGCTTCTGCTGTTAAATGGAGTTCCAACCCAACTCTGAATACTTACAGCAGAATCTAATGTCAAATTTGTGATGTTTGGTTTTAAAACACAACAAAAAGCCCATCATGGCTTTTGTAGTTCACTGTTACTGCTCTCTACAATTGGAGATTGTAGCAAGGTAGGGGTTGGTTGGCTAGAATCTAATGTCAAATTTGTGATGTTTGGTTTTAAAACACAACAAAAAAGCCCATCATGGCTTTTGTAGTCCACTGTTACTGCTCTCTACAATTCCCTGAAAGGAGATTGTAGCAAGGTAGGGGTTGTTGGCCCCTTCTCCCAGGTAAAAAGTGACAGGATCAGAGGAAATGGACTCCAGTTGTGCCAGGGGATATTTAGATTTGATATGAGGGAAAGTTTACTCACTGAAAGAGTGGTCAGGCATTGGAACAGGCATCCCAGGAATCACTGTCCTTGGAAGTGTTAAAAAGGTGTGTGGATGTGGCAGTCAAGAGGTATGGTTTAGTGGTGAACATGGTGTTACATTAATGGTTGGACTTAATTATTTTAGAGGTCTTTCCAATGTAAATTTTGCTACAAGATTCTCTGTGAATCACCAGATATTGTCAAGCCATTTCAATTTTTTGTTTCCAGAACAGGTATTAATCAAATAATCTTGTTGTTTGCTGATTTTGTTCATAATTTACTTTGAGCTTACCATAGTTGTATTATTGTCAATGTATTTGCATTTTAAATTTTTAATAAAGGAAAGGATGCATAATTCAACTGTTTTACAGGTAACGTGCTGCGGTAACATTTCTGTGAGGAATAAAATCTGATCATCTGTTTTCCTTGCCCTCCCTGTAGCATGCCTTTTGTACTGATTTTCTGCAAATATTTGTACATGGTTCTCTTGATATAAATATTGGCAGTAAGAAAATATCAAAGTTTTGAATGATGAAAATGTCTCCTCAATTTAAATTCACTCAAGTATTCAGCATCAATTGTTTGCAGTTTCATGCAACCAGCTAAAACACCCCCCACCATATGAGTTATTTGAGCAACACCTACAAATCAATACAGTTCACTGATGACTATCAGAAAAATTACGAAAACTGCCCACAGATTGAGCTTTGTGCTTTCTAGATGGGAAATGATTCACTAATCAGGGCAGACGGCTGAGGGTGCTGGACAGTGGATGCTTCAGTATCTCACAGTCTACCAGTACACAGCAGACAAGGTGGGAAATGTCAGCGGCACTCATCATGTTAATGCACAAAACATGACTGCTTT